AAAGTATTAAACTTAGACAACTTTGGTTTTTTGTATTAGATTAAGCTTGAATGTTACTTTACTGTGTCAAAAAATAATTACAATAGGGTAATTCTGAGAGTTGTGGTGATTTATTGAAATACCCCCAAAAACGCCAGTCTTCAACGCTTGTGACTGGTGAAAGGGCCCAGTGGCAAGTGAGTTAACCTTCGTCCTGCGGGGGCCGGGTTTATATCGCCCGATAAGTCTATTTCGGCACCTCGCCTGCGATCTGGTCCCGCGTCAGTCTGGCCCCTGGCTCACTGCATGCGCGCCGAGCATCATCTCTCGTTCAATTCGGATCCCGCATCAGATCTCCATTCACGCAGCTCAAGTGTGTGTGCGTCAGTCTGCTTGAGTTTGTGTGCATTTGTGGCCTTCTTCTAGAACCGCCTGCATTGGTTCGTAACCGAGGCATACGTCTCATTCAAAACATGCCAAGTTGGTAGCTCTAGATGTTTGTCCAACGAAATTATAGAACAATTGACCCATTTAGACATGAGGAGCTCTAAAGGACAGGAAACGAGACTTTCATTTTTCTGGACAAAATCTTTCAAATGAGCTTGAATAATGAAATGCCTGATAAAAAAGCTTGTTTGATCATTTTAAATACCATTGAGCAGGTACAAAGAACAATTTAAGTGCAAAACATTCGGAAATTGACCTATATTATTTCATTATCCCCTTTCGTACCCCAGATCATTCATTATTACAACAAGAGCGTCTAGAAAGATTATTCGAATGGGCGTAACTACTCGTAATGTCTTACCAGCTTGTGAGAGGGGGTTATTCATGTGTTTGTAACGCTTTATAAATAGAAAGCTATGAAAGATGGAGCATTATTTTCATCATCGATTAACACACTCCCACGGTATTCATGGCGAATTCCAGGCGCGGGTGCTGTACACCAACAGTACACACTGAGTGACCCCGGCGTCCTGCCCGGGATGTCCGACGTAATCGGTTGCTGATAGATTTGCATATCTCAGCACAGACGCAGGACAAGAGTTAACGCGCTTTAGCCATAACTACAATTACAATGAGGGGTGTCAGGGGGGGGCTCAAGCCCCTGTTGCTGTTACATCAAGGTTCAAGCCCCCCTGGCAACAATAATAATTTAAAGAAACACACCTAGATCTATATGGAAAACAATGACAAAAGAGCGGACCATTGCACAGCGAGGCTCAAACGTAGTTCAGGCTTCGTTCAGTGTTGGGTCCACCAAAATTCAATTTTACCCTCTGTGCCTAAGGCCTAAGGTCCTGGTTCATGTAAAATTCAAGATCTTTCTGTTGTAAAAAAACAAACAACTGGCACTGGGAGGAATTCCGTAACGAGCGACCACTATGAAATAGAGAAATGAACGATAGAGAATAAACAGAGGCCGAGGGCTTGAGATTGGGTTAGAAGTTAGGGTTGGGTTTCTTCTATGAAGTCCATTAGTGTTTGTTGAGGTGGTTGCTCATTACGAAAGTCCTTCCAAACAATTTTACTGCAGAAATGTAAAGTCGCCTCCTTCCCCTTTAGTAGTCTTATTCCTTGCCTCAGTAGATGTTGTTTTTGGGAGGAGTTCCACAGTGGGCCGGCACTTACCGAGACAAGGTCCACTGAGCAAACTAGGTTAAGGTTAGGTGTTGTTGGTCGGCTGGCCCTCCGCGGAACTCCTTCCTAGTCTTTTTAGATACGGCTACTTTTAAGACTAAGTTGACTAAGTAAGAGCCTGCATTTCAGTCCTTCAGATTAGGCCTATAGCTTACAGTAAATTTTCACTTTCACTCCAGAACACAGATTGCAGACAATCTTTTCTTTTATAAATCAGGGGTTCTAGTAACTTCTAGTGTGTAGTCCTGTTTATATAAATCCTAAATGGAGAACTGTTACAGACAGTCGAAATTGTCCGATATTGCCACCCACTAGAGGAAAAAAATATCTGAATCACTTAAATGGACATCTTGGACAGTAGCATGATAGAGAAAATTGCATCATGGGAGGAAGTGGATAGTAAAGGATTCATACATCATGCCCGTTTATGTTTTGTGGATTTGAAAACATCCTCTGTGAGAAATTCAATACAACCCACCACCTTTTTTCAGCTGTATTCAGTGTATGACAATTATATGGGTTTTATTCTTCTTAGATATTTATAAATCACCTGTCCCGTTCACCTGACTGATTGTATGCTATGGAAGAAAGCCCTTTTTTAGTAGTGATGATAATGAAATAGAGGTGTTTCCTTTGGTTACTCATGTCAGAAATTTATAAAGTAAAAATGTCTTAGCTCTTTTTGTACTATGTTTTCATGATATAGTGTAAAGTGCATAGAGCCTGCTGCTGAGCGGGGATATGCGCTATACAAATGCTGTCTATTATTATTTATTATTATTGAAATGTTTTCAAGAGTTTTGTGTTGTATTTTTGTACTTTGCGATCATGTTTTCTTAAGCGTCTCTGTATTGTGAACTCCCATCTCTTCACACAATAGTCAAGATAATTTTAAGTATTGATGATAATGAAGATAGGTATTTCCTTGTTACCTATGTCAGAAATAGGGTAAAAATGTTTCGGATCTATTTGTACCATGTTTTCACAAGAGTTTTGTATGGGGTCCAGCCTGACCCTTGGATTGTATTTTTTACCTTTCAATGTTTTCTTTAAAAGTGTCTCTGTAGATATACTGTGACACTGGAGATTCTCATGTCTTTTTCAGAATAATACATCCTGTCCAAATCTTGTTAGGCTTCACGGCACTGGCTCTCATCTTTGGTGTGTTTGTCTACTTCACCAATAACCAATACAAGGCTCGTCGCTTCAAGCATGACCACCCAGTATTTTGCGTTGCTGCCGTCGTCGCTGCAGGATACTTTGTGGTGTACATGTTTGGAGCCGTCCTTGTGTTTGTCTTCGGCATCGCTTTCCCAATGTTGTGTGAGTATTATTGGAGAAGATTGGGTGATGATAGTACTTTGTATATTGCCATTATAGTAGCTTTAGCCACTAAAAGTCCTGGATGCTTTATAATAGTTTGTTTGTCAGCTTTTATAACTTGAGCAGAGCAGTGTTGATCAGTATGGTTTTAATCTGTGGTTTATATATATAATGAACCTTCCAATATTTGTTAGAATTTATTGTTGATCAACCTATGAAGGGTGGGTGGTTGGCGGGTGCTCTGGTGTGGTTTGTCTCTTCTTTCCTGTCAAACGTCTATCATCCTTATCTCCCCTCCTTTTTCATGTTTGTAGCTCTTTTGTAACACCTCTAGTCTTCTGGCGCTCACATAACCTTATGCAGTTGCGAGTGCCGTAAAATCACTACTAAAACTAAACTAAACTACCTATGAAGGGTAAAAATTATTGATTTTCAAATAGAGGATCAATTGTTGACATTCTTCTGCTGGGGTGTCTTGTTTCAAAATTAATGTTAAAATTTGAGCATCTTCTCTTGAGCGTTTATTGCAATTTCTGTTTTTCGATTAAAAGTAAAATACCATGCCAAATCTAATTAGCTTAAGTTAATCTGTATTGTGAGTTAGCATGCACATTTGAAATGAAATATTGTGGGATGAAAATAAAATTATGTTAAAAGCGGAAGCGCTTTTATTTTACAATGAATAAATTAACTATGAAATATTTATGAGGTTTGGATAATATCTTTCATGCTTGTCTTTTTTGTCTACTGTCCATGTCTTTTATCTACAGAAAAAGGATTGATTGTTATGATTGTCACAAGTACTCTTTTTTATATTGTTTTATAATATAATATAATATATATATATATATGTGTGTGTGTGTGTATATATGAGAAGAACATAATTTATAACTTGAAGTGTTTTGCATTGATTGTAGCTATTTCGTGTTTCAGGAAAAAATATCCGAAACAGTGTTTTTTTTCCCTTTATATTAAAGCTGACAAGAGAAATGGCAAACAGTTTGATGGAAAATTTTGTTGCTATTGAATGACATATTGTCACCTTCTTTTCATTTTTCGTTCTTTTTCTTTCTTTTTTTTTTACCAATAAAAGCGTCGCTTCTTCTTTTTCTTCTCTTTCATCTTTAAATGGACATTGCGGTTTCTAGTGTGAAGGCTGCTATTGGTGCAGGTCCTCTGGGTCTCCATAAAGCTTTGGGTCTCTCTGCCTAGGGTTGGGCTAATATTTCTTTCTAAGCGCTTTGAGCATTGGACAGGCTTGTAGCAAATGGTTCCCTCTTTGAAAGCCCGTTCCCAAAACATTGCTTATTCTTTCAATTCTATTACATCCACAGTAATACTGATTCATGCTTCACTGAGGTTGCGGAACATCAAGAACAAGCTGGCCAATAAGATGGAGTACGTGGGCTTGAAGCGAACCCCGATGGGACTGATCCTGGAGGGACTTGGCCAGGAGCAGGAGGCGGGCTCTTAGGCTGATTGCCTGACTGTGTCTTTGTCTCTCTGCCTCAGTGCTGCAGACCTTTGTGTAGAAGGCATTGTGAACATAGAAGAAATGTTATGAACTTTATTGTGTAAACTTATCTTGTCAATACTCTGAAGGGTGTTGGATATTTTGAATGTGCAATTATTTTGACTTGATTTCGCTTTCTATGACAAGGAAAGCCCTTCTCCATTTTAGTTCAGTTCTGTCCAAAGTTGAGTCTGGTAATTTTTCATTCAGATCATGCTAAAAATTGACTTGTCTCTAATTGAGTCTCTATATTATGGCTTATGAAAGGTAAACAAGGTTGATGATGTTCTTACACTTTAAGCTGCTGTTTGCCTTTTTTTTTCTAGGTAATTAGTTTTCTTTTATTTGAAATTTCAAGTTTTACTTGATGACAGCTCTTAGGTGAAAACTTCTGATATGTCTATAAACTATAATTTTGACAGAATGAAATGAGATGACTAGTTGTAGGAAGTCCTGGTTTGATCATGTCTTGGCTTTCCCAATTTTGAATGAATTGTTTTTTTTTGGTGCCTTATTCCCCTAAGCTATTTCAGAATTCAGAAATGTTAGCATTTCTTGATTTCTTGTTGAGTAATTAAAAGTACTCATGCTTGTAGCTGTGTGTTAATGTAGTGTGCTGTGCACTGTTGTTCAAATGTTAAACAGATCCCATCACAAACTCATTTTGCCGTCAGTGGCACAGCCCACATCTTTTTAAATTTGGAGAACAAAACAGAGAGTGCAATGGTTTTTAATTATCGACATGATGTGATGAAGAATAGATTGAACATCCCTCTTCCGAAAATGTTTCAAAGTCTAGACAAGTTGTTGGAGGGCACATAATAATATAATCCAGGAATGGAAATCTGGCCAAAAAGTCATCTGACTGCACACATTGGCTACGGATTTCTTGCTTATGATATAAAATACATTTAGTTGTAACGTAGTTTTGTTCTCTGTGTTTAGATTTACCATAAGGTATATATGTCATCGGCAAGCTGTTCAAATGATGTAAGATGAAAAAGCAAACTTTTTTCAGAAGAGGGTAAAAAAAGCGAACTGTTTTAGTTCTTTTCCAACTGGTTCCAGTGTTAGAATCTATGTATCTTTCTTTGCTTTATTCAACATTTAGAATTTGAGTTACGACAAAGAATTCCATGAGTATGCAACCAATAGCATGGATTAAACACTGCGATAAATTCTTTTGTCAAATTTTAGGACTTGATACATCAGAACAGCTGACTAACGATATGTGTGCAAAGTGTTTATGAAAAGTAAATAAATTTTCTCCTCAATTTAAATCTGGTCTCAAGGTGTGCCATACACATGACATGGAAAATACTCTGAAATAAAAAATCAGCACGGTTCTGGTCTTTGGCATATATAGGATAAGGGATGTTCTATCTGTGTTAGAAGATCTGATCTATGTGTGCTCTTTTACAGCTTCTCAGACTGGTCTTCCATGAACACCCTATGAACATGACTTTCCCTTCTCTAGGGTTTGTGCTAATACTTCCTTCACTTGCTACACAGGCTTTTTTCTTGTCTTTGTCCAGTCCCTGTTTATCCTCTATTATTATTATAGTATTCATCTTTATTTTTTTTAACGCATTGGGCATTTGCAATAATCTTCATCATAATGTAATCTATGAATATGAAACTGGTTTCATATTATTGTTCATGAGAATTATGTTCTTGAATTTGTGTAATATTTATGTCAGGCATTATGGTATACTGTAAACACCTCTTTAATTAATCTAACTCGATTTGATTTTACTTGGAAAGCCAGTACAATGTATGGTGGTCAAATTGTACCTGTCAAATTGTACCTGTCAAATTGTACCTGTCAAATTGTACCTGTCAAATTGTACCTGTCAAATGTCAAATTGTACCTGTCAAATTGTACCTGTCAAATTGTACCTGTCAAATTGTACCTGTCAAATTGTACCTGTCAAATTGTACCTGTCAAATTGTACCTGTCAAATTGTACCTGTCAAATTGTACCTGTCAGTGGTTCTTTGGGCCTTTTACTTATTGGCTCACGGAACTCCCCTTTCCCAAGACAAACATTTTAAACAGTAGACTTTAAGTAATTTCAGATGTATATTTGGAAGCTGCATTAATTGAAAGGTTCTTTTGTGATGCTGCGTAATTTCTTTTCCTTTTTATTTAGGAAACGTTTGCTTTAAAGAACGCCTTACATATGTTTAGAGAATGAAAAAAACCAACGTTTTCTTCTTCCTTCACCAAGTCAAATTAGTCATACTCTAGTTGTGCCAATTTTTTCTCTGTGGAATTAATTTTTGCCTGGATGTTGAGTTATTTAAAAAGCACGCTCCTCACCTTGAGAAGAGGCGTTCTTGTAAAAAAAAAAATGCATCCCTGTCTTTATCATTTGTTTCACGATATGGTGGGATCAGGCGCTCATCAATTTTAGGGCATGTATGGAGTTATTGGTATAATCTTAAAGTTTGTTTATCTGTCTTGCTTTCAATGAAAAAATATCTTGTCTTTCAGCAATATAAGTCGAGATATTTTGGAATGAAGGAGGTTGGGATAACCATAACCTGTTTGCAGAGGTAAAATGAGAGAAAATGGCTGCCAAAGTTTGGTGACTTCCAAACCTTGAGAGTCCTTGGAGTCTGTAAATTTACACTTTTTGGGCCTTCAATCAACGCTTTTCAGTAAAATCCACTCTGCAAAATGTTTTTAAATGAACATAAAAGGTGTTGAATTTTTAAAAAATGTAAATTCGACAAAACTTGCCCAGTGATAAGAAAAATGCTGTTTTCTTCTTGTTCATTATTGACGAGCGTCTGATTTCTCCACCCTCTCTCCCATTTTACTTACTCTGAGGGAAGTCCACGTCACACAGGGCCAGCTGAACCATCAAAAGTTCTCCCTGTCTGAAGTAGAAAGATTTGTGTTTGAGAAGCCATGCGTCTAGATCATTTAGAACGTGATGTTGCCCAAGGCGGCACAGCGCGGGGAGGAATTGTTCTGGTTTACTGACACTGGTTTTGTTTGTAGAATGGTATCTGGTACATAGATTATAGGATGGAGAGTTGAATCATTTTTCTTCTTAGAATTTTAACTGTTTCTCGGCTTGGCGATTCTGAAAGGTGATGTTTGTTTTTTTCTTTGTTTTTTTTTTCTTCTCATAACTCAATACCTAATGCTGTTTTTGACTCTAACTTGTGGAGAATGAAATATGCATTATTCTTTTTGTGTGTGTGTGTCTCCAGTCTGTGCTCTTGGTACCTTGCTTATGTAGATGCTTTCTTTGTGTGTGTGTGTCTCCAGTCTGTGCTCTTGGTCCCTTGCTTATGTAGATGGAAGTACAGTATTTCTTTGTGTGTGTGTGTGTCTCCAGTCTGTGCTCTTGGTCCCTTGCTTATGTAGATGGAAGTACAGTATTTCTTTTTGTGTGTGTGTCTCCAGTCTGTGCTCTTGGTCCCTTGCTTATGTAGATGGAAGTACAGTATTTCTTTGTGTGTGTGTGTGTCTCCAGTCTGTGCTCTTGGTCCCTTGCTTATGTAGATGGAAGTACTGTATTTCTTTATGTGTGTGTGTCTCCAGTCTGTGCTCTTGGTCCCTTGCTTATGTAGATGGAAGTACAGTATTTCTTTGTGTGTGTGTGTGTCTCCAGTCTGTGCTCTTGGTCCCTTGCTTATGTAGATGGAAGTACAGTATTTCTTTGTGTGTGTGTGTGTGTGTCTCCAGTCTGTGCTCTTGGTCCCTTGCTTATGTAGATGGAAGTACAGTATTTCTTTGTGTGTGTGTGTGTGTGTGTCCAGTCTGTGCTCTTGGTCCCTTGCTTATGTAGATGGAAGTACTGTATTTCTTTTCTTTTTACCTAGACTACACCTAGGTAGGTTTTCACTTTGGTAAATTGTTAGAAGATGTTGCATTCCACCAAACGCTACCCCAGTTCCGAATGACCAAAGGCTTGTGTTGCGTTCATTACCCATGCGTTCAACTTGCTTCAGTCTTATTTTTGTACATGAAACACTCCTTTTTTTTTTTCCTTATAAAAATGATTATAGTTTAGACGTTGCTACAGTACGTGTGTGCTTGTGATATGTACCTGTATGTTTGTCTTGGCACCTGTTTGTCCGTTCAGATCCACGATTATGCCATTTTTGCCGCTACTGGTACAAGTCTTTTGAGTTTGATTGAGTTACGTTTCTGGTGATGGAATTAGTAATTTTTCTCCGAATCCCCAAGCATGAATTTGCCACAGCACGAAGGAATTTGCTTTTCCTATATATATATATATATGTATGTTCATTTGCACCCTTGAATAGAATCATTAAGAAGAAGTGGTGTATTTAAACTGTTTCCTGCGTAATTCATGTGACAATTGCTTCACCTTATTGTATCCGGGGCTTTGGGTGTTGTGTGGCTGTTTTTGTAAAAAAAAGGACATGCATGAAGCTGTGTCAGTTGTTGTCATGCTCAAGACAGTTTGGTTGTTTACAGTACAGGGATGGTAGCTCAAATGTCTTGTGTAGACCGAAACCTTTATTGCAAAATTGTTTATATGATGAGAGAAATTTTGTTTGAAATTTTTTATGTGTTCGTAAAGTGGTATGAATTTGAAAGATTTTGAATTTATTGGTTTTTGTGGGGTTTTTTCTAGTATTCCGGGGAGGCTCAGTTGTCTTTTGAGGGGGTACTCCATATAAAAAATGTTTTAGTTTCTAATTTTATCTGCGTTGAGAGTACCTTGGTGTTCAGGTGCTTTATGTGTCGTTGATTGTTGCTCAGTGCTAGTACTTTGTGGAGATTATAAGAATATGAACACGAGAGCTATGTCTCTTTTGGGCAGGCATCTATGTACAGAGGTAAGCTCTGTGCCATCTTGTGTAAGATGATATAACCTAATGCTTTAAAGTTTGCTGATAATGCCTATTAAATTCCTTTTATGGATTATATCATTCTGAAAAATCGTGCCAGGTGAATACACTTAATGGTGAAATGCTGAATTTAGCAACTAAGTAAGTGGGTCTTTTGTTGGTTCGTTCAGTGGCAGTTTTCCCTGTTATGTTTGGTAATTGAATTTGACCTTGATAGAAACTGACGTTTGGTTGAGATTTTGCAGTATGGATTGAGTGAAGGTCTTTGTGATATCTTTGGATTTAAAATGCTTTTGTGAGTCTGAAGAATTCTCATGTGCTTTTGGAGGAGAGCTCTTTGTTCTAAGAATAAAGTGAGGTTCCGTGTGCGAAATGTTCTGAGATGAACGGCAAGCTAAATATATTATTGTGTTGGAGTGTTGTTTATATTCTCCACCTATGATCTGCTCTGATTTGTGTACAACAATAGACGTGGATATCTTGGAAAGGTTTTGGATAACTTAGTATAAGAAGGGGGGCAACTGTGGTGCACACTGTGGCAAGGTGGTGAGTTGGAGCTTTTGTTCACCTTCTGGTCCTCAGTTTGAATGTTCCTCATGCACTCTCTTTGTCTCCTAGTTGTGGTGCTTTGTTTAGAGGGACGTTCTGTTCCTAAGAAACAAAATGCAATTTTATTTTTAAACTCAAAGATATACGTGTGTGAAGTCAGTAACCTGAAAGGGTAGATCTATACATGATGTACAGTCAGTGAAGACCACAAAAGTATGTCACCATGGTAGATTCTTTGTTTCTCAACTGTTAATGGTGAAGTATGCAAATTTTTCTAGATATGTCTTTGATGATTAAAGGTGCTAGATTGTCTTTATGCAGCCTATTTTAGCTATTTCTCTGATTATTTTTTTTGTTATAACTGAATTTCCTTCAACAATCAGGCAATGGGAATATTTCTTACTTTGCTATGAAAATACCTCTGTATGTAGCTAAAGTATTAGTTTGCTTATTTAATTTGTAGAATGAAAATCTGGGAAACGATACACACACGTTATTTTCTCATGGGTCATCTCTTCTTAGCTTGCACTTACACCATCGAACCCTAGCAGGTTTGTAGATTAGAATGGCCTTTTGTGTATAGTCTGACATAATATAGTTTGTTTGTGTGAAGATTTGGTTGGTAAGATAGGTGATATTTTAACATAATGAGGGACCAACTGAAATGTGAAAGCTTGAGTCCCTTAAAGATATTGATTACTCGCAACAAATATTAGTATTATTAGCATGTGTTGTTAGACATCTGCCATTGGCCTTTCTGTTCTTGAATTGTCTGTCCTTTTTGTGCTGCTGAAGAAATCTGTTCCTAGTTCCATCCTCAGTGTCGCTCGGCAATATAAAATTGAGAGATTCAATATGCTTCCGCTATTGTTACGTTTCACATTCAGATCTGCCTGCACTATTGTGGATTCATTTTGAAACTAAAGCAAAGATTGTGAGAGATGAAAGAAAGTAAAAGAAATTCTTAGTAGATTCTCACACCTTTCAGGAAATAATTATGGGTCATTAGTGATTGATTTTTGTTGTTATTATAAACAAGTCCGTTACACATCCTCCTTTATCATTAGCCTCCCTTATGGGTTTTGAAATATTTGCTTATGGTTGATATTTCCCAGTGTACCATGTGCAAGAGAGAGATCTGATGTGTCATTGCGATCCCCTCCCAGCTTTATGAATTTAAGTACATTGCGTGGGTAATTGTGATACATAGCCAGCCTTGTACTTGTACAGGTTCACACATATTTTCCTCACATGCTTCTCAGTACAATAACAGCCTTTGAATGTCTGGGAACGTGGTTGACATGTAAACTAAAGATATCGTTTTGAAACTAATAAAAGTCACTCAGTGCTTTTGTGGCTCTTCATTCTTGTGTTCTGCTTTGTGTGTATGGTGATGTGTTCATACGTGACAGGTGTTGACTGTAGATTCTTCAACTTTAACTTGGAGCATGGGTGGTTGCTGGGTGCTCTTGTGTAGTTTTTGCTCTTTCTATCAAACATCTATTGTCTTTGTATCACTCTTCCTTCTTTTCTTTGTTTGTTACTCTTCAGTAATACCTTCTAATCTTCGGCACTAAATATGACCATTTTGTGTCGAGAGTGCCGTAAAACTTTTATTTAAACTAAACAACATGGAGCACCATTTTGTTTACGATAATATTATACAATTGCCTAAATCGTTCTTTTTATACATTTTTTTTTAGTTCTGAGAAAGTTTAAAAGAACCATGCTTACCTAGTTCAACCTTATGACTTGACAAAAAGTGAAAATGTCTCGATAATTAGATTTTTTGTACATTGAACAAAACCGTACTGCACAGAGGAAGCAGGTAACGGTAACCAGAAACCTACCAAAAAATACTTGAACAGCTGTATTATGGCAGTGATGATATTCAGATATGGTCCGATTTCTTAGTAGTAGTAGTAGTAGTAGTAAATGTAGTAGTAATAGTTGGTATCCATTTTTTTTTCAGAAAATAAAATACAATCAAACCTCCTTATTATACTGCCACCTTTGGGAGGGGCAGGAAGTTGTGGGCTGGCGGTTCAATAGATTTCCTCTGTTGTGTAGCCCCGACTGCCTCAATAGAGTTCCTCTGTTGTGTAGCCCCGACTGCCCAACGTCATGAACACGATTATGTTGAGTGATCTGTGTTTAGTTTAGTTTTAGTAGAGGTTTTGCGGCGCTCGCAACTGCATAAGGTCATATGAGCGCCAGAAGATTAGAGGTGTTACAAGAGAGTAACAAACATAAAAAGAATAAGGGGATGTGATCTGTGTTTGAGGAGAGTTTTTACCTTGTGGTGATACACATGTGCACTCATACAATATGTACATTCAGACCCGGGAGTCTTCTCTCTCCCTCTCTCTCTCTCGCTCTCTCTCTCTCTCATAGCAGAAAGATGTCAAGTAGACAACCATACTTTAATCACCTAGCTTCCTGCCTTGCCTAAAAGGTGATGTCCGTCACCCGAAACTTATTATATTAATCGTGAAAATTTTTTTTTTTTTTATATGGGAGGAATGAATCCTTCAGGCATTAGTGATCATCTTATTATTCTTGATTGTTTCTCTTCAAAGACGATGGCCGTGGATTTCCGGTACTTTTATATATTTTTATTTCACCCCTTTTTATTGTCAAATGGTTTTCGTTTAACATTCGCGTTTCCAGCGAACGCAGGACCTAAATCGCTGCGCTTGTTGTCACGTTTGTAACTTTAGAAAACTTTGTCTGAGAAAACCCGTCAGTGTGGGCTCTGTGGTCTAGATTAAAAGTATAAGGCTTTCTCATTCGGTAGGTCCCGGGTTCGAATCCGCGCCTTGCGAGGGAAAATTTTCTTCTCCGAAATTTTCTCTTTCGACATCATATTTTTCTGCTCACTAACAATGTTCTATCGTCTCCTTTCGTCTCCACTTTCTGCCACCCCCCCCCCCCCCGACCTCCTTTGCCTCCCCCCCCTCCTAATCTGGGCCTCTGACTCGCTGCAGCCTTTCAACTGCTACTCCTCTCCTTCTTACTGCAGTCTTTCAGCCACACCCCTGATGTTCTTGTAGGAAAGATCTTCCCCTAGCCTTCTCGGACAAGGGCGAAAAATCTCGGAGGTCTTGTGTGCAAGTTGCGCACGCTAAAGATCCCTTGGTGGTCCAAAATCGATATAAGAGTATGTATGTAGGCTTCGGCCACCACCCGGGCAAAATTCAAAATTTCCTACCAACTGAAAACGATTAATGTGTCATGAGCGCTCATATTATGACTGTTTGCATTTGCGAGCGCCGTATAACACAATTTCTTTTTTATTTTAAAAAAAAAAGAAAAAAATCCTAAAGTGCCCTGGCAAAATTACATGTGGGCCATATAGGGCCTATTTGAGAGGGTACCATCTTGGGAAGTACATGTAGTATAATAGGCCTACATGTATCCTTTTCGGAGCGCATCCACCCTGACAGAGCCCCCCCCTAAACCCCCCCCCCCCAGCAAAAACAAAAAACAACAACCAAAAAACCCCCCGAAAAGCAGAAACAAAAACAAACACAAAAACTCAAAAAACAAAACAAATACACCCACAAACAAACACAACAAACAAAAAAACAACAAACAAACAAACATATAAAAAAACAAAACAACAAAAACAATGATTTATCAGAAACTTTTAATGCTTTAAAAATTGTCCTGTTGTTTACTAATATATAAACCGTTATGCTGTTTAGGTCACTGAAGTATTTATAAAGTAATAATAATTATAATATTATTATTTATGTATTTCATTATCCTTGTTCTGGTGCATTTACTATTGATGACATGATGTGCTAGATATCTAGGCTAAATCACTCCGTCCACAGCTGTGAACTTGATGTGACACTGAACAAAGTAACTTTTTAATACTATCATTATCATTCAACTCATCTAGATCTGGGGGTTTTGGATTGTCGAGATTAGAGGTCTTAACCTGTCAAGTAGGCTATCGATTGAGGTGTTCGACGTTTAGAGTGACCGCTTGATATCTATACGGCTATGAATATTCTTAGAGAATATAGACAAAGGTTAGGATTCGATGTATGATCAGGGGTCAGAAATTCATAATCCATTTTTCTGTTTCTCTTAGGCCTACACAGTCAGCACGACAGCCTTAGCCTATAACTATAATGATTCTTCTTCTTCTTTTATAGCAATGATGAACGAACAAATCATTTCAACAAAATTCAATAGTTCATTAATTCCTACTTGGGACAAATTTGAAGAAAGACAGAGCTGCAAAACTTTTCTTCCCATTTGATTCCATCCGAAACCGTAAAAATTGCCAGTTTGAACCTGGCACGTGAATATTTTTGTTTAATTAATTTAGCAATAGTAAAAGGCACTTATTGTTTTTGAATGGATGAAGTACTTTGAAACTCATAAACAATCAAAATGTTTTTTTGAACAGTTGACAAATTATTAGGTCCAAGAACCAATTATATTCATTCTATCTTATAGCACCACTCTTTGTATTCTATCAATTCTCTGGCTAGTGTGAATAGTGTGAAAAGTGAAAACAGAAAGTAGAAACCAGGTTGTGTCCCAAGCAGTAGACAAACAGACGCAGACTTTATTGCCTACAAAGCTAGTTTGCCTTATCATTTTCCTTCGTCAGCTCGTGATAATATTGAAAAAGATGGCTGACAGCGATAGCGATGGTCCCTGTGAACCTGCTCTGGCAATTGATGAAAGTGTAGCGGCAGACATGGATCTCAACGTTCCCGCAACGTCTGGCAACGAGTATCTTCGTCGTGTCAGGTAGATCTACTAGAAATCTAGATCTAGACTACATAGATCTAGATTTCTAGATATCTAGCTAGATCCAGGCCTACTACCACTGACATCACAACACATGATCTATTCTTTAGGATAAGCCTAGAATCTAGATCTAAGTCTAGATTCTAGGCCCAAAACATGCTTGAGATTCAAATTCAGCAATCTGTCTGAAGTGAAGTCAGAAGTAGAAGTGCGTAATTGTAATGTGTAGGAGGGACTGATTTTTGCGCATCGTTAAGAGTTACACTGTAAGAGCAGTCACCATATAGACGAGTACCAGTCATTTCGACACTCCCCAAGTCCTCATGGTTGAATGGAGACGGTCATTTTGTCACACACTTGCAAACGTCAAACGCACATTTTTCTGGTAATTTAGCAAATCATGATATTTTTTGGGGGGAGGGTTCGGTTGGGCGTTGTGTGGAAGGACGGGGGGTTGCAAGTCATTGTGCCTACCTAATCAGCTACACCGTTCTTTACTGGGTGAGTTTTGTTGAGTTGTTTTTATAATACTTTATTTGTTGGGGGGGGGGGGGGGGGGGGCAGTTTTAGTCTTAAAAATTACTTTAAAACAATAGGGCACGGTCCAACGATAACATGCTTGAATTGGTGATTTAGACTAAAGACTGCTGGCACTGATCCTCCAAAACTCTAGATCTACTAGCACTATTTATACAATTTTGGAGAGATAAGCGGAGAGTCCTTTTGTCACACCTTATGCCTTATTGTGGTGTGACGAGATCATGACTGTGTGACGAAATGACTAGTTTCCCACTAGGCTGTGGTACAAGACTTCCTACAGAATAAAGGTAACTTGAAACATTGGTGTAGTGTATGTTGGTCCCGGGATGATTATAATATATATAGTCATAGGCCTGGCTATGCAGATGTTGTCACATGGATTGCTTCAGTACTTCAGTCAAGTGCAAAAGCCAAGTCCAAGATTTCCCCATTTCTAAAAATTTCATATATTTTGTAAGGCCCAGAATGTCTTTCCATCTTGCTGAATTCGAAACATTAAATTAGTAGGCCCACATAGATATCTAAAAATATGATGTCAATTACTTTTCAGGTTTTTAGATATCTTAAGATTGATAAATTTTATAAATGCTTTTTACAAGCTTTTCTTTTTCAATTTTCTTTTTAAAAATTAAATCGTAAGTCGATGGGGATGACAATGATGATTTCACAAAATATAGACATACCATTTCAATCCTTGTGATTTTGATTTCTAGTTTCAAAGGGTTTGGTGTCCTGTCAAATCCTGTTCCATTTTAATTTAAAATGTTATTTCTCCCACTGTGTACCGTCAAAAAACTACTAATTGCAACACACAAAATTCTTTGTATGGTTAGTGCACGTGGTTGCTATATTCACAGCAGTTTTCATTGATATAAAAATAATTGTGGTACAGGCAAGTGAATATTTTCTTCTTCTCGTTCATCTCTAACTGTTCTGGACATCCTAGTCCATAGTGCAAAGACTGCAGGTCCTCCTGGCCTTCTTACAGTGGTCTCTCTGCCTCGGGTTAAAGGCCAATATTTCCTTCAAAGTGCCTTGAGCATTGGGCATGCTTGGAGCAGTTGGTTCCGTATGGTTGCTGGTACCACACGGACACTGCTGTGAATGTCCAATTTGAGCTTTGTGTAGAGGCGGTGATTCAGTCAGTTGTGCCCTCTTCTAAGTCTGAACAGAACAACATGCTCTTGACGTTTTTTTTGAGGTAAAAGGTATCTGGTTGCAGTGAGGGTGTTGTTCCTTCTACTTTGCCTGTAACCCACTTTTGATGATGGTTTTGGCCTCCTACAGTCTACAGGCTTGTGGCTGTGAATGATTTGATACACACATCATTTGAAGGGCCTGGAGATCCAAATCTGTAGCACAACAACCAAGGATTGAAGGTCTGAAAGAGTCCATAATTATAAAAGAAAACAGTCAAGCACAAATCTCAAATGTGTTGGGGTTGACAAATGTGAGAGAGAGAGAGCGTGGTGAAACCAGGCGCTCGTCAAAAGAATGAAACTAGAAACTGACATTTTGCCGCAGGTTTCGGAATTTTTTTCAAATTTTTGTTTTTTTTAGCTCAACACCTTTCATGTCCATTAAAGGGCACATCCCCTTGAGGATTGCACTTAAAAACGTTGATTAAAGGAACACAAAATGTAAATTTTCTGTTTCCACGAACACTCAAGCTAAGGAAATAACTAAACTTTGGCAGCCATTTTCCACTAATTTTACCTCTGAAACCAGGCAACCTCTACCTCCCTCTACTTCAATGGCAAATATCTCGACTTGTGTTCAAGATAACTGGATATTTTATTCATCGAAAGCAAGACAAATGAACAAGCTATAAGAGGACACCAATAACTCTACATGACAAAAAATTGACAAGCGCCTGATTCTACCGTGTCGTGACGCAAATGTGTTGGACACGGACAGCTCTGAAATTCATGTAAACTGATATACAATATAAAAATAAGAGAGATATTGTGAAGAAAACCTAAGGAAGTTACTGTGACAATATAATGGTGCATTGATCAGAGTGCTGCAATTAATCTCTAATTCTTTATGTTAGACTTTATTCTTGTACTACTTAGGCTCCTTGATTGAACATAGAGGGAGAGGGCAGGTAGGTAGTCTCCTCGGCTCCTTGATTGAACATAGAGTGAGAGGGGAGGTAGGTAGTCTCCTAGGCTCCTTGATTGAACATACAGTGAGAGGGCAGGGAGTCTCCTAGGCTCCTTGATTGAACATAGAGTGAGAGGGCAGGGAGTCTCCTCGGCTCCTTGATTGAACATAGAGTGAGAGGGCAGGGAGTCTCCTCCTTCCAGGGGAAGACTGAAAGGCTTGGGTGACCCAGTGGCTAAGTGAGTAGTGAGTTTTGACTCAAGCAATGTCAAGCAAGTGTCGGTGACACAGTGATCAGATGAGTGGTCACTGGAGTGTGTCCTTGAGCAAGACACGACAACCCTAGCTCAAATTACAGGGTGCTGCACAGTGGCGACCGACAGTGGCATTGTTTGTAAACTGTTCTGTATTTGTGTAATAGTGTGTATTTATCTATGTATTTATGTATGTACATATTTATAATTATGTATTTATGTATGTATGTTTGCCATTATAAAACAAAGTGCCCTTCTAGGACAAATAAAAGTGTAATTTATTATTTATTATTATTATTATTATTATTATAACTGGAGAGGACTCTAAGCTGTTGACTACTTCTGAAAGTTCAGGGACATGAGATTTGGTGTTTTTGTACAATGATTACTACATTTAACTACAGTCAAAATTGTTCAAGGCGGTCGCCCATTATGGAGGAAGAAAGAGGGTTGTCTTAGACAGGTTGACGTCCTGGACAGTGTCATTATATTTTAAAAGGGCAAGGCGGGAAGTGGTAGTTTTTACAGTTGATTGTCTTAGGTAAGTGGCCATTTAAGCAGGTTTGACTGTAGTAGTAGGTAAAACACACTGGGGTTAATGTTGACCCCTTTACCTGTTTTTTTAAAATTCCCATAGAATCCATCTCATGAGATGAGGCCTGTAACAAATGTTTACGCATGCTGTTTTTACAATTCTTTTATTTTGCTTTATAGATTGGAAGCCATGGAGTGTCCCAAAGTTGTTGTTGCTGACATGGATACAAGTTCTTTCCTAACCCAACAGACAGTGAAAGTGTCAGAAGTGAGTTTCACCTCAACTTTACTCACTTGTTTACCATCACATATAAAACTTGTCATGTCCTGAGGGAAATATGCTTCCAAGTTACTTTGTGTTGTTTTTTTAATAACAGAATCATCATCATCATTGCCTTTCTCACCCTGCATCAGGGTATAGGCCACGGACAAACACCCTCCACTTTTTTCTACCCTGTGCTAGCCTCTTGATGTTATTCCATGTCTTCCCACTTTTCTGTACATCAATTTCTGTGATTCTTCTCCAAGTTCCACGAGGTCTTCCCCTTGATCTCTTGCCCTGTGGGTTCCAATCCAAAACTTTCTTTGTTATGCAGCTGCCTGACTTCCTGAGAGTATGTCCAATCCATCGCCACCGCCTTCTTCTTACCTCATCTCTGACTGGGATCTGTCTTGTTTTCCTTTACACTTCCACATTGGTGACCCTGTCTGTCCATCTGATTCTCAGTAACTTTCTTAATAACAGAATATAAGCTCGTAAACTCTGTTCTGTTATGAAGAGAAACTGCTGACAGTGGTTGACAAACACCTGGTGTTGAGTCTGAAGGTTGTTCCTGTCTAGTTTTTCACTCTGTCCACCCACGCAGCCCGCAGAGCACGCAGCAACACTTGTCCCCACGGACCAGTACACAGATTCGGTACACGCTATATCACACCGTCGCTGGTCGGCGCCCCGTGGGGGCAAAGTGTTCAAGTTCAAAGCATCATGTTCATGGAACAGTTCACCAAGGAAAGCTAAGGAACGAAGATCACTATGAAACGCTTTGGTGTTTTTTTCACTGAAGAGTTTACAATTATAAGCTGAAGCACTTGGAATATCTGTTTTCATTGTAGATGTATATACACACATATTATATATATATATATATATATATATATATATATATACACACATATTATATATATATGCATGCTGCTTTGTAAAACTATTGTCAGACGGAGGATGACTATATTTCTTTTACATATGGAGAGTTTCAATACATAATTTAATTTCTCCTGTACATCCAAGAAACATTTCCTTGTGGGACAATTAAAGTAGTCTTATCTTTTTGTATTATTTTGATTCAGTTGGGTGGCATTAGTTGTATTAACTGTCATATGCTGAGCAGCTGATATTCTTTACTCTGAGTGAGTGGTGTGAGGCTGAAATACTTTGGTTCTCCATTTTCCCTCAGTCGTCGGCGTCACCCTAGGTTGTTTGTGAAAACTTCATTATACTGTCCCCGTGGTTTTATGCACCCCGCATAATTTAGCAAAATTTGATAATTATTTGCATAATTTCTGGTTATTTTCCGTTATCATTCTTTGTTAAAATTAACAGAATCGCATAATTTCACATTTTTGGGCTCAGTTTGCATAATTTCAGAATTTTTCTTGCATAAAATGACGGGGACAGATTATAAAATGATCAGCTTCTCATCCTTTTGTGCATTGAACTATTTTCTGTATGTTTCTTCTTTTTGTCACAATGTGACCATTATCATTCATTATGGGGAAGATTAGCTGTTGACTGTTGTCATAGTTACCTTCCCTGCCCTCACCTTTTTCATGTCTAATTAATTTAAAGTCAGTTGTGCCTTAAGGCACAGGTTTCTGTCAGACTAACTGAGGGGGCTCTCGTGGCCTAGAGGTTAAGGTGTTGGCCTCTCATTCAAAGGTCCCGGGTTCGAATCTGGGTAGCCACCGAAAAATTTTCTTCTCTAAAATTGTCTCCTTTCACCTCCTTTCCTGCTCTCTAGCAATGTTCTGTTGTCTGCTTTCATGTCCACTTTCTGCCCCCTCCCCCTCACCTCCTTTGCCTCCTCCTCTGGGCTCCTGACTCTTTCTGCAGCCTTTCTACTGCTACTCCTTGGCTCCTCCTTACTGCTGTCTTTCTGCCACAGCCCTGATCTTCTGGTAGGAAAGATCTACACCTAGCCTTCTCGGACAAGGGCGAAAAATCTCGGAGGGCCCGTGTGCAAGTTGCGCGCGTTAAAGATCCCTTGGTGGTCTAAAATCGATAAGAGTAGGCTTCGGCCGCCACCCGGGCAAAATTCAAAATTTCCTACCAACTGAAAATATTAAGAGTGTCCCGCGCGCTCATATGACATATGCAGTTGCGAGCGCCGTAAAACACTTTACAAAAACAAATAAACAAAAACAGACTAATGATTGTTTTTCATCTTCCCCCCCCCCCCCTACCCCCACCTTGTTGTGTAGCCAGGAGGTCTGCTGCCAGTTCCAGTGTCGTACAAGGCGCCAATGTCCTGGCAGAGAATGCAGGTAGCGGAGTTTGCAGCCCTGAGACAGGTACATGGATGGCCACTTACATGCTTGCAGCTGAGTGGATAATTTGAACCACTATGAGTGCAGTTTTGTTTTTGTGATTGCTCGTTAAATGAAGCAGGCAATGTGAGGAAGTAGTTTGTGTTTGTGGCTCTGAGGAAACCAGTTGGGAGGCAAATCTTTTCTCAAAATTGACGTTTTTGCGTATTGCAAAAGATTCACCTTTTTTCAAGCATTTTGCGCTCTACCTGGGTGGCATAGAAGCATTCTGTTAAAAGCTGTATTACACGTCAATGAGTGTGCGAGTCTCAAGGATAATTTGTGAGGAAACAGCTGTAAAATATGATCACGTTGAGGCCGTATAAAGAGTTATAACAAATGTTGCATACATCCCTTGTCTTTTTTTTTTTTTTTTTTTAGAGCATTTTGCTCTTTTTTGTTTTGAAAGGGCTTGGTAGTCCAAAATATCAGATGTAAGAATAGAACTTAGAAAACTTTCCCCAATGAGCAAGCGTAACAAGTGAAAGGAAAGATAGGCTGTTCTGTCTTTTTCTGCTTCTTGAATATTTCATGCGCACAGGATAAAATAATAATAATAGTTAGCATTTGTATAGCGCATATCCCCGCTCAACAGCAGGCTCTATGCGCTTTACACTATATTGTTACCCCAGCAGACCATAGAACACTCCGAAACATTCTCAGCTTCCCGGGAAGCATACAGTGCAAGCAGCTGATTAAGCGCTCAAACACTAACAAACTGACAAGATCTTTCGCTGTCTATAGCCGGGTACCCATTCCCACCTGGGTGAAGTGAGGAAAATTCGTGTAAAATGCCTTTCCCAGGGACACAACGTCGGGCCCTTGACGGGATTCGAACCCACGATCTTACGGTTGCGAGTCCGAGAGCCTAACCACTAGGCCACTGACGCCACAGGATTTCCCCGGAAAAGCAGGAAGATTCTTTTCTTTTTGTGAACGGTTTCAAAATCTAGCAAAATTTGTCTGCTGTACATCCTCAAAATAACTTGTAGAACTATAACATAGTATTTGAGCTTCCTCCTTTCAATTACAATTTATTCTTTTCAAATTTCAATAAACCATGAAACATTTCTGACAAAATAAAGCTTGAGGTCACATGTTTAGCCACACCTCGAAATAATCATCTGCTCCTTTCCACGGATTTTCTTGAATCCACATACAAATTTTAAAAAAAATAATTTTACTTTCAATAAATCGTTATCGGTTGTCTATTACTGTTGTTCATCTCAGTGTTGTTTTTACAGCCTGTTTTACATTTGGCTAATTCAATGTAGGGAATCGGTAGAATGAGCCAGTGTTTCACATGTGTGTGTGTATTTTTTTAATTGTTTTTTAAAATACAGGTGTTTTTATGCCCCCATCGACACAATTAAGATCTTTTAGGAGGCAGGGTTCTGACCTGTCCTGTCAGCACCAACGCAGGCCGAGAGGGATACAACATCCCGGCAGAAAGACCGAGATACTCAATAAAAGGGCTCCCCACAGAGGAACGGAACTCGGGTCTCCTGCGGGCGACAGTGAAGCACCTAACCGCTACACCGCAGATGTCGGTTCTTGCGTGTGTGTGTGTCAAGGGGAACAAAGTGGTACAAAGAAGTTGTCTGTTTCAAATTGAGTATTCCTGTTCATAGTCTGGTAAGATGTTAAGCGAAATGAAAAAGAAAAGCTGTATAGTGTGAAATTGCAGACACTTGATGTTCTTATTGAGTAGGACTTAGTTTTACTGGATATTGGGTTTTTCTCAGATAAATGTTTAGCTCAAGGCATTCTGTTTCATGTAATGATCTACAGGTTAGTCATTAACATGAGTGTTCAATATAAGCAATATTTCTGATTCGCAGAAACTGATCCAGTTCAAAGCTCTGCTCAAGCAAAAGAAAATAAATGTTCCGTCTCCAAAACTGGTAAGTTCCTTTCTCTGATACTTGAGGAGGCTCTATGCTGTTTCTTTCCACTGTAATATAAATATGGGTGGTTGGAGAGCGTCACTTGTAGGTCTTACTTCTTTTCTTTCCTTCTGTCATTTCTGTCTGTCTGTCTTTGCTCATTCCCTGCACTGAATGACTGGTATTGTGTTGATTCAGATGTGCTTCCTGTCTTTACTCAGTTTACTGAGACTGTTGTAGAAATCTTTTTTAAAAGTTCTGGGGGAGGTGATGTGCTGTCACGTTATATAAATTCCAACACCATTTTTAAACGCTTTATTTTGTTTGTATCATATGTGAGGCAGCGTGGTGGAATCAGGCGCTCGTCAAAATAATGGAATCGAAGAAAATAACAGTTTTCTCCCTGCTTACCAATTTTTATCAAATTTTTGTTTTTTGGCCCAGCACCTTTTATGTCCATTTACAAACACGTTCCTTTGAGGATTTCACCGAAAATGTTGATTAAAGGCACAAAAATATAAATTTACAGTTTCCATGGACTCTCCAGATTTGGAATTTACCAAGCTTTGGCGGCCATTTTCTCGCTAATTTTACCTCTTAAATCAGGTGACCCCCACCTCCTTCAATCCAAAATAACTCCACTTCTGTTGACGATGGATGGGTAATTTTTTCATTCAAAGCAAGACAAATGAACAAGCTGTAAGATGATACCAATAACTCAATATGCCCAAGAATTGCCGAGAGCCTGATTCCACCACGCTGCCTCACATGTTTTCTAGTTGAGGGCTGACAATGAAAGCTGTGTTGATTGTTCTCAGCAAGGTTTGTCAAGACAGCAATTCAGTATGCTTCTTGGGAAGGCTTAAAAAAACAACTTTTCAATTATTTATGAGACCCCAAGGTTCTGTAACTCCTATCGGCCAGAGCGACATGCTCTGTGTCGTTTCCGTTGACCCCATTCTCTCAGAACGACACAGAGTGTGTTGTTTTCACATTCTTCAATTAAATGCACATTTCTGTCCAGCCCTCAATGTTTATAATATTGCTCAACTTAGAAATAGATATGACTAGCTGGGCCCCCTTTCGATGAAAGGAATGATCGGTGCTTTAATATCAACTAAAAGTCATTGGCCTACTATATTTACACTCTACTGGAATAGGACAATAAATCTTGAGAGATGCAAAAAATTAGAAGGTCTAGATCTATACTCTCAAAACAAAATGCGCCGGCCGAAATATCACTTCCGGATTTTCTAAAATTACAGAGACAGAAGTGTCGGCCTACGAAAGCGATCGGCGAAATAAAGAAATTTAGCTTTTTGCATCAAAACTGTCTTAAAACGGAAAAAACCAAGGGCGCCATGCTCTGGAGAATATTTTAAAGAATTTTTCGGCGAAAACCGCATGTTGATCGATGCAGCCATTAAAAAGCCTTTTGAATAGCAAAATTCGGCCACCACAAATAGATAATAGATGATACTTTCTTTCTGTACAAAAATGTGATGCTTGAAGGCATATTTTTAGAGTGGCAGCACGTTGTGTCGTAGATGGAGAGTCTGAGTTGTTTTTCCAAATCAAGATTGTTCATCAAAATCGTATTTAAAATTAATACACCTGCTTCTACCTCCTGGGGTGGTGCCACTGACTGAAGTGACTTTAGGCCATTTCCAAAGGGGGGACATTAACATGTTCTTATGCACAGTAGAATTGTAAATGGGCTGATTCATCAATGTCATGCTCATAACTGTGCCTGTACTGCAACAGGAAACTGCTGCTTTTTCTTTCCTAATCCTTACTATCATCATTATTCCTCTACTTCTTTTGTATGTTTGTCACACTCATGTGACCTGCTATTTCTAGGGTGCCTTGATAGTCGAAGCAGACTTTGTGCTGTTGAAGCTAGAGCGGTGAGCAGAGTAAGCCTGATTCCCAGTATGGACTTCTCTGTTGACATCCACCCCTTGGCGCTCATATGACCTTTTGCTATAAAAACTCTACTGAAACTAAACTAAAAACACCTGCTTCTTCTGCGTTCAGTCTTACTATCTGCTTCCCTGATGTTGCTAATGGCTAATTCTTTAGCATGGTGAATGAGGTAGATTTAGATAATTTAATTCTGACTGTTCATGAAAATCCATTAACTTAATTCTGGCAGATAGGAGTTAATAATTGCTTGATCAAAACAGAGAGCTCTATTTTGTACATTGTGAGCTACAATTCTCATCTATCGCCAGCCTCAAGCCAACGACGCTGACACCTGGTGCCGTTTGTGCTTTGGTCGACTCAAAGTGAAAATAGACCAGGGTGATAACTCAAGCACCAATGCATCATCTGAGAATGAGAAAGTGCCGGTGGATTCCCCAGGGGAAGGGACGCCTCCGCTGTTACACATTGTCGCTCACATGAACCAGGTTCTTCACAGCTTTGTCATTTACTTTTTTGTTGTCGAAAATTCTGCTTTCGTTTGTAGTTCTATTTGAAAGACTTCTCGTAGTTTTGTGTATTCCAAACAGTGTATATATATATATATATATATATATATATATATATATATATATATGCCGTGTATATATATATATATATATACTTATGAGTGATATTTCAACAACTTATTGCCGTGTAAATGACATCGTCCATCGTAAAATACACTTTTGATAGATTGGACTCTGAACCCTGAGCTCAAGATCAGAAACAATAAAAGTAAAACGTTAATTTCCTCAAGTTTTGACATAGTCGCTTGATGAGATCCTGTGTTCCTAAAATAATGTATTGTACATTCAAGTTGCAGGCAGTATGAAAAAGGGGTTTGTTTGTTGTTTGGAAAAGAAAGAGGGGATAGATGTCAGGGAGTGGGGGAGTGGTTGTGTGTTGTTTCACAGACTGAATTGTGTGAACTGTTCGCACACTTGGTGTATGAATATAATTAGAGCCTTTTTGATCCTCGGCACAGCATCAGGTGACCTGTGTGTTAGAGTACCACACCAACTGGCTGGAGGCTACAGGGTTCACATCTGCGCAGGTAGGTTGTTTTGTCAGTTTAAGAGGGTGTAGCTATGGTCAACACCCAAATGCTGTAGTTTTTGGTCTAATGCTTGCTGTTCTGCATCAAAGGCGGTGACATAGTAGGCTACAAAAAAAGGTTACCAAGCAAAAAATTCAAGATTTTAGCAATAATAATCTCGAGCCATCAAAAATAAAGGATTGATTCAGCATTTTTAAAACCAGTTTTATATTTTGTCAATCATCAACATGCTTCAAGATAGAAGCCTAATATTTGGCATGGCAATTACTGTTGGTAGGTAGAATAACCTTACAGGGCCAAATTTGAATGTTCTGTACTGACTTGTGAGCTTTACAGTCCTTGTTATGCACTACATTCAGGTCTCCAATATTTTCAGATTTTGTAAAATAAAAAAGGCCTAAAATTTCAAAGGTGTTCCATAAAAAGAAAAATGCTACTGTAAGGTTATAGAGAAATGTGTATAAAAGATTGTGTCAAATGTGAAACAATTCTGACAGTAACTTTCTGAGATCTACTCAAAATAGTGTTGCAACCTGGTCAGATCAACAATTCTGAGAAAACTGCAAAGAGAGATAATTTTTGGTGAAGATTTTCCTACATTGCTACCTCTCTCAAATGCATTTTCCAGCTATTTCTAAGTTTGATAAGGAATTAGGCTTCTAAAGATGGATCCTTGATATTGATAGCTATTAAGATACTCCAAAATCCGAAGACTGATATTTTTTTCAAAATTTTTACTGATCTGACCAGTGGATCCCCTTAAAAAGTTGTCTCATCAACTCTGGTCAACTCTTCCTCTTTGTCCTTTGCACACACCCCCCCCCCCCACTCTCCCTGTACCTTGCAACTGATTTTTACACGCGTTTTCTCTTTTCCTACAAGTGTGCAGTACTCTGTGCATTTCTGGGAGCCTCATGGTGTTTTCCGATGTGTCTCATCTTTATATTAAAAAAATCTAAATATGCCTTCCAGTTGCTGTTCAGTTTTTAGGGAGAGGTGCATATCAGTCTTGATGATCTTTTTCCTACAAGAGCAGTGTGCTCAGGACTGGGTTTTTTAAAATCCTCATCTCGGAAGACACTTATTACTCTATTGAACCTACCCCAGGGTCAGGGCTGTGGAAAACTGGAAGGCTGCATACAGGCAAAGGGACCCAGGAAGTAGGAAAACTGATCACATACATACAAGTCAGTTGTACTGCAGGTTAAAGGGTCAGAGGTCGACTGCCATTGAGATCTGTCAATCAGGGGAACACATCGAAGAAGAAGAAGAAGATCTTAGAAGACACTTAACCCTTCCAGCCCCAAGCGCGTATATTTTCAGCAGTGCTAGTACCTCCCACCGTCCCAAGAGCGTATATTCTCAGTTTAGGAGGGTGCCGAATTTGCGTATTTTTTTAAATTAACAAACCTAATTAAACGTTAATTTTCATAATATTTGTTCATTTACTTTTAAAGATTGTTATATGTTTTTATCTAAACCTCATTACAAAGATACTGCAACTCTTTTTAGAATGCATGCCTCTTTTTCTGAAATACCGTTGTATTGGCTGGGACTGGGGTTAGCGAGTGCACAAAAATGGCTGGGGCTGGAAGGGTTCATACTCCATGGAACCTACCGGAAGGGTCAAGGGTGTGAAAAACCCTAGGATCCCCCTGCTCCCCTCCCCCCAACCCCAACTATGTCTAGATTGAACCAAGTATTTTGATGTGAGAGGCAACCACCAAACCTCTAGACTGGCTAATTTAATGACTTCCTTGTAGCTTCTCCTTTTATGCCCCCCAGGGCAGTGCCACCGACTGTAGTGTCTTGAGGCCATTCCCAAAGGGGGGACATTTCTCGTTCAAGCATAGTAGAATTGTAAATGGGCTGACTAATGTCACGCTCATAACTGTGCCTGATCTACAACTGGGAACTGCTGCTTTTTCTTTCTTGATCCTTACTATTGTCATTTTCCTCTACTTCTTTTGTATGTTTGTCACTCTCTTGTGACCTGCTATTTCCGGGGTGCCTTGATAGTCGAAGCAGACTTTGTGCTGTTGAAGCTAGAGAGGTGAGCAGTTTAAGTCTGATTCCCTGTAAAGACTTCTCTGTTGACACCCACCCCTTGGCGCTCATATGACCTTATGCAGTTGCGAGCGCCGTAAAACCCTCTACTATAAAACAAAATATCTCCTTTCATCTGACCCGAAGTTGTTTGAGTTCTGTGTTTGTGGTGTGTGGCACGAACTTTTCCATATTTTTGTGGGTGGTTGGCGGGTGCTCTGGTGTGGTTTGCTCCTTCTTTCCTATAAAAAATCTATCGTCCCTATCTGCCCTCCTTCTTTTTAATGTTTGTTACTCTCTTGTAACACCTCTAATCTTCGGCACTTATATGACCTTATTGTGTTGCAAGTGCTGTAAAACTCTTACAAGAACTATCAATATTTTTGTTAATACTTATTGTTTTGCTTGACAATTTTCTATCTGTTGTGCATGGAATTGATCATGTTGATATCTCTGTTGTTGTCATTTTAAAAAAATTGATGAATGTTCTTGTGTGGTTTGCAGAACTGGGCTACTCACATTTCTATCTGGCATTGCTGTTTTCAGTACTTTAACTGTAATACCCCCATTCTTTCTGCAGTGTGGTGAATTTACTCTTTTAGCTTTTCCCTAAATTCAATCACTTCATTTTGAGTATCCAAGGAGAAATTGAGAAACCAAATTAAGGAACCAATTGTAAAACTTCTCACTTAAAGAAAAAAAATGTGTATTGTGCAGTGTTCCCATAGATTCACTTTTTGCCTATCTCAGAGTCTGGTAAACTCAAAAATCTGCTGAGATATGGCACTTTGCCGCACTAATTTACTCAGATTTATATACCTAAAAATAACTTTCACAAGACCGCCGGTGACCTAGAGTGTACGTTTTGCAGGGTCGCTGGTTCTACGCTTTATTGGCCAACCTGCAGAAACCTCTCAGTCCAGAAGTGTGCTCCTGGCTGCGTCGCTTGGCACGTCTGTGTTCCAACATCAGAGCTTCTCTGGTGAGTAGAATTGAGGGTAAAGGGTAACGTGTTATTATATGTATATATTCTAAAATCCACACAAGTGCCTTCCCCATTTATTCAATACCTTACAGTTAAGGCCATTGAAACATAGCATTGTTAGACGCGTTGTCTGTGGCATATATTTATTTTTATATAATATACATATTATATATTTGTACTGGTTGCCAAAAACCCACATGAGGCTTGGTGTACTGAGAAAAAATGGGTAAAGTATGCCTCATGAAAATATTATGCCCACACCGGCTTAACATGAAACTGGTCAGACAATGATACGATTGGACCTCTAATTTTGGTCCTTTTGTTTTTCCCCTTATATGACCGTTCCCCTGTGTTGGTAAATATTGTCACAATGATTTTATTTTTGCTAGCCAGAATATGTCTATACCTTTATTGTCATTATTTGTTTTGAAGAGTTACATCCAAATAGAAACAAATGAAATTATTTGGGTTCATGAAGGGTAAGTATTTCCTTAACTCCTTCGTTGCCTTATGGCGATACGTCATGAAAATGCGCAATTTTTAGCGCTGTGCCATGGTACGTCATGGAAGGTGGCAGAAATTGTGAGGCAGCGTGGTGGAATCAGGCTCTTGTCAATTTTTGGTCATATTGAGTTATTTGCATCATCTTAAAGATTGTTCACTTGTCTTTATTTGGATGAAAAAAATTTCCATTTATCTTGAATACAGGTATTTGCAAAAGAAGGAGGTGGGGGTCACCTGTTTTCAGAGGTGAAATTAGTGAGAAATTGGCAGTCAAAGATTGGTTATTTCCATAGCTTAAGAGTCCGAGGTAACTGAAATTTTACATTTTTCATGCTTTTAATTTAATCAACGTGTTTCAGAAAAATCCACTCAGAATTTAGTTCTTTAATGGGCATGAAAGGTGTTGAACCAAAAAACAAAAAAATTGATAAAAATTAACAAACCTGCAGAAAAATGCAAGTTTCTGAACTTTGATTATTTTGACGAGAGCCTGATTCCACCACGCTGCCTCACAATTGACACTTCTGGTTTCTTATATGACGTTCCATGTACGTCACGCTGATAACCTGGCACTAATTCTTCTGTATGGAGTTAACTTTTCCCTCATATGAGATTAAAAGGGTTCTATCTCCCTTTTGTGGATCTTTTGAGAACAGTTATGGTTTGTTGCGGGTTATCTTGCACTACATGGTGATTCGTGTTTGCTTCTGAAATGATCGTTTTGTTCCGAGAAAAAATACTAGAGCTGGGCGCAGAATCGAGTCCGGAAACGATTCCCACGATCAATGCTACGGAAGAAAAGTTCCTTTTTGTTACGTAAACCATCGATTACCAGTTACTTTTTTCAGTAAAATCTTTTTTTGAAGAATTTGTTTTTGAAAAAAAAAATGGATGCTTCGTAGTGTTCCGAAATCAAGGTTATCCTAAATCCTGAAGACGTTCGAAGCCAACCAGGTAATCTCCTGAAGAAATCACATCATTAGAAAGTAAGTAATTGGGTTCGGAGTCGGTTCCTACAACTCCTAGCTTTCAAGAATCGGGAGCCTAGCCGCCCAGCAGTAAAAAATACACATGAAAAAGATGTGATCTGCTGTTGCGTTTAAGATTCATAACCTGTGACATTTCCAAGAACCTGAAATGCAGATAGAACCCTGTGTTAATCTAATACGACATGATACTTGAGTCCAGAAACTGTTGTTATATCTTCTATTTCTTCTTATAGGCAGATCACTTCAACCAGCTGCATCTTATTATGCGCTTGTTTATCAAGATTTGGTGTATAATTGAGAGCAGTCCAGGGGGGTCTCGTGGCCTAGAGGTTAAGGTATTCGCCTTTCATTCAAAGGTCCCGCGTTCGAATCCAAATAGCGACCGAAAAAATTTTCCTCTCTAAAATTGTCTCGTTTCACCTCCTTTCCTGCTCTCTAGCAATGTTCTGTCGTCTGCTTTCGTTTCCACTTTCTGCCCCCACCCCCTCACCTCCTTTGCCCCCTCCTGTGGGCTCCTGACTCTTTCTGCTGCCTTTCTACTGCTGCTCCTTGGCTCCTTTCTACTGCTGTCTTTCAGCCACACCCCTGATCTTCTGGTAGGAAAGATCTACCCCTAGCCTTCTTGAACAAGGGCGAAAAATCTCGGAGAGCCCATATGCAAGTTGCGCTCGTTAAAGATCCCTTGGTGGTCTAAAATCGATAAGAGTAGGATTCGGCCACCACCTGGCCAAAATTCAAAATTTCCTTCCAACTGACAAAGTTAAATGTGTCCAGTGCGCTCATATACGCGGTTGCGAGCACCGTAAAACGCTTACTGATAAAATGTTGTTTTTTTTAAAAATGAGAGCAGTCCTTATGCTTTTCTTTTATTTTGTTTCCATGGCAACAGGAGGATGTTGATCAGCCCATGCTGAAGGAATTGAACCTGATCATCTGCCTTGTGTCTCGTTACTTTGACCAGAGGGATTTGGCCGACTCCTGACTCACAGACTCATGTCTCCCGTGAATCACACAGCTGCAGAATGAAATAGTGTACATACTTTTGAATTTATGTATGATTTGAATTTTACCGTTGGCGTTAGTTTGTTGCCTTCTTTGGTGTGCTGATGGTAATGTGTGATGTGTTGAGAGAGGGCCCTTGTCTGGTATTGTGAAAGTTGTGTGAGGGAAACGGTCGGTTTGAAGGTGAAGGGTTGGACACACAACATCATTAATTGTCTGATTTGTTGTTGTTGTTCTCAAATCCCTTTAGCTGCGAGCATTTCGCTCTTGGCAGCGCAATGCCTCCCTCAAGTAACCACATGTCCTTGTCAAATTGTATCATTAAAAAGTGACTGCTTGCCTTCTCTGTCTAGTGAAAGGGGAGGTTGTTATCAATTCTTCTCTGTCTAGTGAAAGGGGAGGTTGTTTTATCAATTCTTCTCTGTCTAGTGAAAGGGGAGGTTGTTTTATCAATTCTTCTCTGTCTAGTGAAAGGGGAGGTTGTTTTATCAATTCTTCTCTGTATAGTGAAAGGGGAGGTTGTTATAAATTCTTCTCTGTCTAGTGAAAGAGGAGGTTGTTATCAATTCTTCTCTGTCTAGTGAAAGGGGAGGTTGTTATCAATTCTTCTCTGTCTAGTGAAAGGGGAGGTTGTTATCAATTCTTCTCTGTCTAGTGAAAGGGGAGGTTGTTATCAATTCTTCTCTGTCTAGTGAAAGGGGGGGTTGTTATCAATTCTTCTCTGTCTAGTGAAAGGGGAGGTTGTTATCAATTCTTCTCTGTCTAGTGAAAGGGGATGTTGTTATCAATTCTTCTCTGTCTAGTGAAAGGGGAGGTTGTTTTATCAATTCTTCTCTGTCTAGTGAAAGGGGAGGTTGTTATCAATTCTTCTCTGTCTAGTGAAAGGGGAGGTTGTTTTATCAATTACTTCAGCGCCAGAGGGTTTCACACAGTAACTGTCTAGTGAAAGGGGAGGTTGTTATCAATTCTTCTCTGTCTAGTGAAAGGGGAGGTTGTTATCAATTACTTTAGTGCCTGAGGGTTTCACACAGTAACTGTCTAGTCATATTTGTTTCAGTAAGCTTGTTCATTGTGTGATTGGAAAACGGGTGTTGTTGTCATGTTGTGCTTATTTTCATAGAGTAGAGGCAAGTGATATATCAAAATGGAGATTAAAGGATAAGGAACAATAGTATAGATAAAAATTGAAAGTAAACAGCACAGAAATAGTTAAACAGGTAAACAGTTATTGAAAGTGCTTCAAGGAGAGTTGATTTATGAAAGTCTTTTATTGCATTCACAGCCTTCCGGCTGGGTCTGCATTATTGTTATCCATTTCTAATTCCTGATCAAATAAAATAGGTTTGTTTCTGTACACATTTACAGTTTTACTTTTCGTAATAGTTTTACGACACTTGCAACACAATAAGGTCATATAAGTGCCGAAGATTAGAGGTTTTACAAAAGAGTAACAAACAAACACAAAAAAGGAGGAGAGAGTAGGACAATAGATGTTTGATAGGAAAGAAGGAGCAAACCACACCAGAGCACCCACCAACCACCCTCATTTGCAGTTTGAAAGTCTTCCAATTTATTATGATTTTGTGCTCATTTCTGCAATGTCTGTGTAAATGAAAATAAAACTGGAAATATAACGAATTGTTTGGATTTGTCGTTCTTTATGTTCATCACCATATTATTGAATGAGAGGCGAACACTGTACCTCTTGACCACGAAAGATCATATATGCTAAATCAATTCCTCTTTCAAGTTTGCGTGTAGGAGGGATTAGTTTTGGACCTTTGGCTGAGGCATGATGGTTAGAATTGTACTTTTCACCTGACAGTGAGAATGTGGTCCCTTGTGGCTCTCGTTGTATGATGGTGTAGCCTAGTGGCACTATGCAAATGAAAATGTTTTAGACGCATTTTAAATACGACAGTCCCAAGTTAACACATGTAGGGATTCAAGGTCATCTCCATTTAATAAAAAATGATTTTTTAAAAACTTTTTGTGTCTGAATGCCCCATTGACTTTACTTTTACTTTACTTTACTTTTCCAATACAGCGGCCATTTGGGTTCTAGCCCTTCGGTCTGAATGCCCCATTGACACAATTCAGATCATATAGAAGGCGACTCTATCTATTTATTTCCTCTTATTCGACACCTTTCCTTGCAAATATTTGAAATGTCATCATTATCATTACCATGCCATCATGTCGTCTGAATGGATCCTTTAAAACATTTTTTTTAGTAACTTGCATCCTCTGTTGTCTATGGTTCTGTGCAGTCCTCACTTTCACAAGAACTCGGACAGTACCTGCTACATTATGTCAGCTTTTGTCACATCTGTGTGGTAGAGCTGGGCGAAGACTCGATTCCGGAACCGATCCCCACGATGAATGCTATGGGAGAAAAGTTCCGACTCCTTTTTACGTAAACCAACGGTTACCAGTCCATTCAATAATAAAAACCATCTTCTTTAAAAAAAGAAATTGTTATGGAAAAATGAAAGTTGATGCATTGAAGTGTTCCGAAATCAAGTTATCTTACATCCTGAAGATGTTCGGAGCCAACCAGATAACCACCGGAAGAAATCACTTTATTAGAAAGTAAGTAATTGGGTTCGGAGTCGATTTCTACGATTCCTCCTCGCTTTCAATAACCGGGGACCTCGCCGCCCAGCCCTACTGTGTGGGCTGGTAAAATGTACGTGAGACACATTACACTGGATGTCTCAAATTGCAAATTTAAAAAGTTTGCAATGAACGAAAAGATCAAAAGCAGAATAAGAGTACATGAAAAAAAGCTTGGTGTACAGAGAGTTGTACTTTGTCTCGCTCCGTCTCATTTGACTTTACAGAATTTTCTTCAAGTGTTGCAGTCTTTCTGCTGGTACATTGTATCTCCTAAATTATTAATATTGAGCATATCGATGGCTGAGCGCAAAAAGTGACTATATCATAACTACTTTTCACATTTTCAAGAAATAAGTTTGAAATTTTGACGATTTTGAAATCCCTATGACACAGTCAGAAAAGAAATGTTAATATCTCGATACTGAACTGAGCTACGGCTTAGGTGTATATTCATCATCCAGTGCCAGATCTGAGACAGACATTGGCGATCACGGTTCTCCATTCATTCCTTTGCTCGGATGCTCTTAAAAAACCTACATTTCCCTGATCTTTCCCTGTTACCCATTTTTTTAGGTTCCCTAAGTAGGTTGCTCTGGGCCTACCCCTGCCTCGTTTGCCTTCAATTTTGCCAGTGAGAGCTAGATGTTCAAGACCTTTCTGTCTATTCAGGTGTCCCAAAAACAGAGGTTAAAAGAGTGGCTTAAAACCTCACTGCCCACATTGATTCCTCCTTTTCCACCTACAGTGGATATAGTCACTTCTTGCACTCACTCAGTTGTGGATATGGGAGTGTAAAATATGAGCAGTCTACCATTTTACGGTCAAAGCAGTAGGATGTTCGTCGTGGTTCTCTTCAGCTTCGTGAGCTGACTCCAAGTGAGGAATGTAAACTGTGCATGCAGTAAAGTAGTGGGACCCACTAACTGCACCTACACAAACCATGTCAACCTTTTGGCAAATGTAAATTTGATGAGACAAAGTGAAAGTCTGCACCGTGGTGTAAACACTTATTAACACTGAAAAGATCTTCACCATTTTTCTCTTTCTTTATTTGAGAAAATAAAATCTAGATCAAACTGATGACATGATGCAAACAGTTCCATGACAATGTCGATTTTGGCATTCTGAAGTCAGGATGAAGAATAATGATGGATGCTGAAATGAAAAACAAGGAATAAATTAAACGAACAACTCGTCATAAATACAATACTGGAAAGTAGAAAGTGCACTGGAATCATAATCATAGAACTTAGAACTGTATCACAAAAGAAAGAAACTGTTTTTCCTCTAGCTGCAAAAGTAAAAGTACATAGATCTATTATTAGTAACAAAAATGTCACGCACAAACTTGTTGCATACATTAATGCACTACAAATGGATTTTCAGTTTTTTTTAATGATGTTTTTTTTTTCGTGTAGAGTGGATTTCTTCAATTTTTTATTCATCACGTAGCCTACCAAAAGGTGAGGCAGCGTGGTGGAAGCAGGCTCTCGTCAAAATAATCAAAGTGAAGAAACTGGCATTTTTTTGCAGGTTTGAAATTTTTTATCAAAATTTGTTTTTTTGGCTCAACACCTTTCATGCAGATTAAAGAACTGAGTTCTGTGTGGATTTTTCTGAAAAACGTTGATTAAAGGCATCAAAAATGTAAATTTTCAGTTACCACGGACTCTTAAGCTTAGTAAATAACTCATCTTTGGCGCCCATTTTCTCACTAATTTTACCTCTGAAAACAGGTGACCCCCCCCTCTTTCATTCAAAAATATCTCGACTTGTATTCAAGATAAATGGATATTTTTTCCGAACCAAATAAGAGCTTTAAGACGATACCAATAACTCTACATGCCCAAAAATTGACGAGAGCCTGATTCCACCACGCTGCCTCACAAATACCCTTCCAATATTCACAAAACTTGGGGACTTCTGAGGTACTAAAGGCCCCTTCATTTAACATTGAGCAGTAAAGCTCATTAAATTAAAGCAGTGAGCTCTAATCAGAAACTAAGACGAGAGCCGTTTTAAGACATGAAAAGAAGTTAAGCCAGCTGATATATATATGATTTTTAGTTTACCACAGACAAATCTCCCATCTCAAGGGTATTCTTTTAATATAAAACCCAAAAGATGACGGAATTAATACCCCCTTCAGAAAGAGGGGCCAGTGTACAAATGAGACAGTGACAGCATCAGTGCCGATATAACCAAGGAGAATAAATTACTATTGAGATTCACAGCTTATCATTACAACAACAATCATTCACACTTTTTGAAGTAATATGTTGGCGTAAAGCTATTTTAAACAAATCATGAAGTCCTATAGGCATTTACGAGCCACAAAGAATGATGAGACTGTCATGCGCTCATTTGAGAAAATGAGCGAATAAAAGAAAATAATGGAATGATCCCAAAAGGGAAATGTTTTATAATTAAAATGTCTGAGTTTAAAAAGTACCAACAAATTTTATAATGTACATGTACATTCTTCTATCTATTCTTTCTTGCTTTGGACCATAAAAGTGTGCCCTCTAGCTCTGCTGTGTACTCCTTATTTGCCCTTCAATTCTGTCTGATCCTTTGCACCTTACACTACATGTACCAATGTGGTGAAAATACATGTATGGCATTTCCATGATCTAAGTTAAAAGAGACCTTAAAAATTAAGATTCTCAGTCTCTCCTGAAATTTTTCAATTTGCGCCTGCAGGCAGTTATATCTGAGGATCAAATTCTCAGTTTTTAAAATGAAATTTATTGACATAAATTCTGAGTCTGGCAGAGCGTTCAGATCTCAATCAAAGACAAAATGTATTTGCTGTGGCCTCAAGCAGCAAGAGCGTGACTGCCACATAGTCATTGAACACAGAACAAAACATTGCCAACAGTTTATCACAATAATCAAGTATTGCTTTTGACTTGGCTACATGAATGAGAACAGTTATTGATCCCACTCGTAGACTGAAGTAACATTCAAATGACAAAAGTCATCGGTCAGGAATCTGCATCAAGTTTTGACCACAATTTGTTTTATTTTGGTCAGCTGAGCCCTGAAGTGGTGAAGGAGGCTAAGGGAAGATGTGGAAAAAAACCCTAAAAAACTATTAGTCCTTGAGCAGATTTAATGCCTCTTTCCTCTTTCAACATTGTATGCAATGAACACCCCCCCCCAAAAAAAAAACACACAAAAAAAACAACCCAAAAAACAAACAAACAAAAACAAACAAACAAACAAACAACAACAACAAAAAATCCTTTAAAAAACAAACAAACAATAAACAATTTAAAAAAAAACAACAACTGGGGAACTCAAGAAGGTGACATTATTACTTATTACTACTATCATACCTTATCACACACGTTGTGCTGAGACAGGTGAAAAAAGCTATAGGGAAACCTGCTTGAGCATCACCGTACCAGGAACTTGTCATGACAAGTGTTGGCTCAGTTTCTTTGGGTGTCATAATACACGTAAAAGTAAGCACTGTTTTAGGAAATAAGGAACAAAATACAAAACTGATCCAGAGCTGAACACAGGGCAGAAGTGATACTGTACCATAAGTGCCCACAGAGTCCCTGCTAAACTTATCATTTGTCATGTTTTATCTCATAAATTGGTCGCTTTTAAGCACAAGGGGGCTACCCCGAAAAAATGCTGTGTCAAGAAAATCGAAGGTAAAGTTTTTCTCTCTAACCAAACAAATATACACACCACTGAAACCAAACTTCTCCTATAGGTAGGGCAATGCTCACTTTTGGTGTAGGTAAAGATTTCTGGAAACCCCCAAAATCTGGGTTAGCCCACTTGTCCTTAAAAGCGACCAATTCATCCCTTCAAGTCAAGCTATCAAAGCATATGGGTAAAACTGTAGAAAGTTCTATAAGCTTTGGCAACTGCCCCCATAAAATATGTTTTCGCCCAATGAAACTCTGTCAATGCCATTGATCCAGATTAAGTTTTACACAGTAAAGTTTCCACCCTCCACTCTTCTCCCAGACAAAGTAAATATCTCTATTAATTTCACTGCCCGAATGTCTGTGATAGTTTGAGCCACTTTTGCTATCTGGCAATTAATGTGACCTATATTCTTACCAATGGCAATGGCATCAAATAATAAGCGGAGTAGCCTACCTTATGCTAGCACTTTATTCATAGGGTTTGTGAAAAAATTACTCATTTATTGTGGACTTTAAAAGTTTAGTGGAAGATTTTCACATCCAAATGTTTGTTTCTGACAGCACAAGCCAGAGGTGTGAGTACGTTGTAAGATCAACTTGACGTCCAAAATTTCCATTCTGGTCCAAAATAAGAACAGGTACTTATACCAAAGTACAGCCTACGTAGACTGTACTATCTTTGCTTGTACTGCCCTCAACTCTATATAGGACTACCCACAGTTAGTGAAAAGTTGAACCTTCATTCGCTACCCCATTCTTCAACCCCCCCCCCCCCCCCCCCCCCCCCCCTCCTTTCCTCTTTCAAACAAAAGCTATTTTTAGGAGTAAGTTTTCAATCAAAGCCTGTTCAAGCGCGGAAAAAATGTTCAAAGATAAAGCGTTAAAAAGAATTCAGAATAATCGAAGAAGCCTTGAAACCTGGATGCCTTCATAACGACAGACAAAGAGGCCCATGCAATATCCGAGTCACAAGAAGCCCTTTAGAACGTCCATATAGCAGACTACAAAGGTGGGTAAGATCTAACACCTAGCCTTTTCGGATAAGGGCAAAAAATCTCGAAGGTCCCATGTGCTAGTTGCGCATGTTTAAGATCTTTTGGCAGTTCAAAATCGCTAAGCGCAGGCTGCAGCCGCCACCTGCGCAAAATTCAAAATTCCTATCAAACTGAAAATGTTGCATGTGTCCCGCACGCTCATATGACCTTATGCAGTTGCAAGCGCCATAAAACACATACCAAAAGGAAAAAAACACAGAGTACAAAGGTGAGGTTCTCACGCAGTGCTCACTTGACACGCAATAAAACAGCAATAACGACCTGTCCTGTGGTTGTATGCAAAAAAAATTATGTAATTATGCAAACTGAGCAGAAAAATTTGAAATTATGCGATTCTGTTAATTTTAACAAAGAATGATAAAGGAAAATAATTAGAAATTATGAAAAAAAATGATCAAATTTTGCAAAATTATGCGGGGTGCAAAAAACCCCGGGGACAGAAGGACATGTTAGAGAGGAATGGTCCAGGATGAGGTTGAGGAAGACACCAAAAAACGTTTTTGAGTGAAGCTAACAAACTTAACAAACTAACAACTAACAAACTACAGGCAACATGACTAGAACAGCTTCTTGGGTTTCTGTCGTCCTTTCCCGCACACTATACTAGTGCACAAATTAATACACATATATTATTCTGAGCTGTAATTATTATCTTTCTGTAGGTGGTAGGCATGTGCTGTGGTGTGGTTTGCTCCTTCTTTCCTATCAACAATAATAATAGTAATTGCATTTATATAGCGCATATCCATGCTCAAGAGCATGCTCTATGCGCTTTGCAACTATTATTACCCCAGCAGACCCTCTGAAAACACTCAGAAACATTCTCAGCTTCCGCGGAAGCATACAGAGCAAGCTGCCGATTTCACGCGCTCAAACACTATCAAACTGACAAGATCTTTCACTGTCTATAGCTGGGTACTCATTTCCACCTTGGTGAAGTGAGGAAAATTTGTGCAAAGTGCCTTTCCCAAGGACACAACGTCGGGCCCCTGACGGGATTCGAACCCACGACCTTACGGTTGCGAGTCCGAGAGCCTAACCACTAGGCCACCGACGCCACAACAAAGATAGATCATCCTTATCTTCTCTCATTCTTTTCTTCGTATGCCACACTCAAGTAATGCCTCGAATCTTCGGCCCTTATATGCCCTAATTGTGTTGTCAAGTTCTGTACAATTTGTACTAAAACTAAACTAAAATTATTTTCCCACTTTCCTCCAACAGAAAGGTGAAACACTTGTGTAGATTTGCTTTGTCCCAGCCTGTCCCTGCCTGTCACTGCCTGTCACTGCCTGTCACTGCCTGTCACTGCCTGTCACTGCCTGTCACTGCCTGTCACTGCCTGTCACTGCCAACACTGGGCCAGTAAGATACCCTAGTGTACATCCCTGCACAAAGACAGAAATACTGGAATTCAAACTCATGCCCTCTGCTCCCAACGAAAAATAAAGAGCCTTAGAATCTCACCACAGACACCCACTGATCAAAAGTCTGTGAAGGGAGCTCTGATCATCTGGAGATAACACTACTGAAGGAAACTGTTACCTGGCCTGCAACTGTGTTAGGATGTCAAAGAATAAATAACATACAAAAGTGTATAATATTCTATTGCACACTCTTCAATACTTTGAAGGGGAATGGTTAGCTATAAAGAAATGCGAGGCAGCGTGGTGGAATCAGGCTCTCGTCAATTTTTGGGCATGTAGAGTTATTGGTATCATCTTAGAGCTTGTTCACTTGTCTTTATTCGGATGAAAAAAATATCCATTTATCTTGAATACAAGTCGAGATATTTGCCAATGAAGGAGGTGGGGTCACCTGTTTTCAGAGGTAAAATTAGTGAGAAAATGGCCACCGAAGGTTAGTCATTACCTTAGCTTAAGAGTCCGTGGTAACTGAAAATTTGCATTTTTTGTGCCTTTAATAAACGTTTTTAAGTAAAATCCATTCAGAAATGAGTTCTTTAATGGGCATGAAAGGTCTTCAGCCAAAAAACAAAAAATTCACAAAAATTCACAAACCTGCAGAAAAATGCCAGTTTCTTCACTTTGATTATTTTGACGAGAGCCTGATTCCACCACGCTGCCTCACAAATGAACATTTGCCTGTACATGAAAATGTTGTCATCATGTTGGGTACAGAATAAAACAACTCAAGGAGCAGAAAAAAGGAAATGATATCATCTTGCTTGAGGTATTTATAAATTCATTCAGCAACCTTGAATATTAATCTATAGTAACTTAAAGGAAATGATCATAATATGAGATGCTGCGATATCCCTGTATTGCAATTCTTTGTCTTTTTCTCAACAGTCAGTTGTCAGTGATGTATTCTATAACACGGTGTGAGTCAACTCATTTGATTCTGTACCACCTTTGCCGAAGCAAAAAGATTGTGATTATGGACACACCCTTAAATAGCCACTTCTCAACTTGGTCTATCGAGTCAGTCCAAGCAAAGGAGTAGCAGTCTCTACAAATCAATTATGTAGTAATCAGTGTTCCCTAAAAGTACATTGCATATGAAGCTTGGTCACAAAGATACCAGAGCTCAAAATAAAACAATTTGCAACATGAAAAACCATCAACAATATCCTCTTTTGATGATTAAAAAGTGTTTGAAGCAGTCAATATGAGTGACGTCATTAGCGCCTGTAGAGTGGTCAGTGTGTGTCAGGCATATGTGATGTCATAACTATGTTTGGTACTTCCAGAGTCTGTGTGTGTTGTTATAATCAGCACATGTGACATCCTCAGTGCACAGATGTCATTAGCACATGTCCTGTTATAATTAGTCCATATGTGATATAATTAATGCTTGATTGAACTCCTTCCAGTGTGAGTGATATCCTCAGAGAGGGTGAGCACAGTAATCCGTGAGTGTGATGTCATCAGTTAGAGAGTTCGGTCATTGGCACAAGCGATGCCACCAGCGACAGCAATGCCACTGCAGACTAGCTTGGTGAGTCGTATCAAGAAGAAGTCGTGCGAGTCTTGAGTCCTCTCAACTGATCAATGGTGGAGGCCGAGTAAAGACCTAGCTTCAAGCCTGTCTTTGCCCTGTTAGCATTGAAATGTTTCACAGGGAATGGGTTAAATGGTCTCTGGGATTTCTTGAGGAGTGTCGGGAAGGTTGTAGATGAGCCGGGTGACCTCTCTCCCTCTCTGTCCATCCCTGAGGAAGGAGAAAGTCTCTGGCCATCGCTGGACTCCATGGAAGGCTTGTGAGCCACAACCATCGTCTGGTGACCCACCCTGCGGACTACCGGCTGGCTAGACCTACGAGGTTTGCTGTACCCTTGATGGCTATCTTTGTCCCGCCGGGAATTAGTCATAGCTTTGTGTCTTGTAGCGTCTGGAGCGGCAGAAGTCCTCTCTGTCGTCCCCACATCAACAGTTTCTGGCACAGGAACGGTCTCCACGACAGATGCTGAACGTACGGCGCGAGGTGGGCTGGTCACGGCAGTCGCGTCTAGGAGCCGAGCCACTTCCACAGCACTGTCCGTGGAGCTGGAGGATACCTGACGATCAACCTTGACCTTACTTCCTGAGTCAGTCGCGATGCTGGTGCCACTGCGGTCGCTGAAGTCCACCGCGCTAACAGATGAGGATCGGCTGTCCAACCCATCAATTGCTACAGAGTCAGTGGATCTGTAGTCACTGCAAGTGTTTGACTTCACGTCCTGTACTTCTACACTCAATACTGCAGCCAATGATGACTCCTCTCCGTGGTCCCCCGACAGACAGAGCTGGTCGTCTGTTCCACAGGGGATCCTCACGGCAGCATTCTCAGTTTCAGGCCGCACCAAGGACACCCTGATGTCTTCAACTTCGCTCAACGAAATCTGCTCACAAGAACCGATGACATTTTGTGTGGAAGTCCTTCTCTCCACGGCAAGAATAATATCGACTTCTCTTGAGCTCACATGAGCAGTGGAGTCTGTGAGGTGTGGTGTGTCCCCCAGTCTTTTCCCAGGGCTTAGCATGGGAGAGTTACTAGATGGGCTATCCACCCCTGAGTCGTCCCTGACAGCATCCAAAGAGGCTGTCATCGATTTGTGCTCCAACGTGTCTCCCAAAAAATTGTCGGCATCATCCCCGATTACAGCAGCTCCAGTTTTTTCGGTGACCAGGACCTGAATGGAAGACTCCAAAGCTTCTCCTTCAGATGCGAATACAGGGGACTCACTATCAGATCCGGAGAGAGTTGAAGCGTGCGATTCAGAGGCCTCTGACACATGAGCTGATCGGATCTGTGTACTGCAAGAGTCATCACTAGTGTACACGGGCTTGGGGTGTACAGGATCGGATGTCTGGTTAGTCAGTGACTTTTTCACAATCTTCTCACACACAGGCTCAGAAAAATCACCTGATGACGTTACTACAGCAGACTTTTCTTGAGTGAAATCAGCAGCTGGTGCAAATGATGCATCTGAAGCCAACGATATTAAATCAGAAGATTTTGGGGAGTTTGACAGCGTGCTTGAAGACTCTGTGGTCTTCCTCTCCCGAGGTTGCTCAGTAACTGTCTCGCAGCTGGACGAGTGCGCCAAGCTGACCTCTACGTCGTCCGCCTCGGCACAGCTGTCCAGCCGCCCGTCTCGTGTGGGTGAGCTGGGTATTTCCTGTCCGTCGGACCAATCACTCGGTGAGCCGGCCCGTGGGTTCGGGGCGGCAGAGTGGCTGGAGATGCCGGTCCTCATCCTCTTACTCTTGGACACGGCCTTGGCATTGGCCACAGCCTGCAGCTGTTTGGCCAGCAGTCCCTGGTTGTGCTGGCTCACCATTGGGGCCGAGATACGGGGGCCGTCCGTCACCAGTCGATTCCTGGCACTCGAGGATGCCTTGCCCACAAACAGGTGGTTCATGGCTGTCGGGCTCTCGATGTTCGGCACGAGGACGGGGCATGGGGCCCCCGGGGGTCCTAGTCGATGTGAGCCGGCTGCTCGTGACTTCTTCGCTGAAGCAGCTGCGGAGAGAAAAGAAACACCAAGGGTAACAAAAGGAGAAAATCTTCCATCTCAAGAGCAAATTAATTTTTACATCATCACCAAATGATCGAAACTAATTTGAAAAAAACTTATCAAACAATTTTTTTTATTCGGGAGGGGAGTGCCCCACTCTCTTTCCAACATCTGTAACTTACAGGATTGTAAAATTAAAGAAATTCTGAAGCCATGAGAGAAGGCCACAAACTGCCGTATCAAGAGGGAGTCTATTTATATCCACGTTTCCACAATGCCAAAAATGTCCTAGGCATAAGAGAAGCTCTCCTCTTTGAGCCATCCTCCAGAGATAGAATCAATAAGTTAGTGGAAACAGACTTAAAAATGACAACACAAAACATATATCGAAGAATTCATTTTTTTCCTTCAACATATATCACAGATTCAAGTAAAAGCTTTGTGAAATCAGCAAAATGAGACTACTCTTTCATAAAAATGACAGCCCAATTTTCAGGATACGATAGCGCACACAATTTCCTTGTCGAAATGTGAGCTCCTGGATAAATGATAACTACATTCTTAAAAAACGAAGAAAAGCTCAACAAAGAAAATGAAAACAATAGTGTACACAGGAAATGTTGCTGTAAATCAAACGTGCGCTTGCTTCCCTGGTGGGTGAGTACAAAAGGGGTGCTCTCTAGCGTTAATAAAGTAAAACCCGATCCCACCATCCAACAAAGTCCACGCCTGGGAAAGTGGAAGGCGTCTGACCTTTTTTTCTGCATCACACAATAGTCCAGACCATCTTGTGATGAATGGAGAAAAACTAAAGAAAATCAAAGATAAAAGTTCCAAATTCCCAAAATAAAAGTCAAATGAAAAAAGGAAAATGATTAAGGAAAAATATCAAACATAGGAAAAGAAATTGTTAGAAATTTCTTGTACCAAATCACCGTGAAGAATACCACTAAGTAAAACGAGACTAAATATCTGTTTCCCTTACTTATTTTCTGACTTATATTCTACTTTCTAGCTCAGTTAGTCAGCTACAGAGAGCTACATGTAGCCTACAGGTAAGAGCTACCGTCACTGTCACTAATAGAAACTCCACTCACAAAATGAGTCCCGGATCAAATTTATTCTCAAGAGGAGTACTTAGACGCGAATCCTGTTTCATAGATTCAAGAGACGAAGATTCAAGAGACGAAAATAAAAACCAACCAAAAAGCACTGCCATTATTCGTGTCTCATCTTCTCAGGAAAAGCCAACAGATTCTATGTTATCTGTGGGATAGGTCATGGCTTTTCTACTACAAGAAACTTGCTTTGTCCATGTAGTCTGACTTCCTCACTTAAACCAGAGAGTTTACAGTAATACTATATTACTGTAAACCCTCTCTGCTTAAACTATGACTTAAATTTACAAAAACTAAGCCAGTCTTAATCACGACAGCTGCCGCAAAAATCTGCTTCTGTCACAACAGCTCAAAGAACTGCATAAAGCATCCTCCAGTTGTGGGACCAAAAACTGCAAGTCTGAGCTGCACAGTTCTTCCTTATGAGGAATGTATATGTACAAATAGAATGAACAGTACAGGGCTACAGTGGTTTGACCAAGGACTCATTTTGGACTAAAGGAACGCCCTCGTTAAAGATAAATAAATTACTTATCTGTCCATACCACCAGTGCCTAATAAAAAGGGAATCGACATTTTCATAAGAAATACCAATTTCAAATGATATAGATATGAAAACAGGTAGGCACAAGATTTGAACCTGAAACAATGTAGGTAGTATAAAACCCCTCTTTGAATTATAACTAGTGTGTGACGAATGAAGAACGAACAGTTCATAAACTCGTTCCAGATGTAGATCGATCCCAAATATAGCAGCAAGGAAATCTGTACATTTTAGAAAATTAAAAAAAACACTCCCTGAAAAATATGCCTGGGCAGAGTCAAGGAGATAATGTTCACACTGACACTCTAAGCATGTACAGGTCTACGGCAAAGTGAGGGCAAGAGAGGAACTGTTAATAACTACATCAATTTGAAAAAGCTTTCCTCCAAACTTTGAACAGGCATAGAAAAAGCTCTATACAAGCCAACTTGGAAGTCATAAGGATTTGGTTTGTCTCATAAGCAAAGAATTTGTACACAGACAATATAGGCTGAGGACAAAACTAACATGGGAAAAGAGCTAAAGATGTTGTTCACTCAGATTTGTTCTCTCTCCCTCTCTCTCTTTCTCTCTCTCTCTCCCCCCCCCCCCCCTTCTCTCTCTCTCTCTTTCTCTCTCTCTCTTTCTCTCTCTCTCTTTTTCTCTCTGCCCCCCTTCTCTCTCTCTCTCTCTCTCTCTCTCTCTCACTCTCTCTCTCTTTCTCTTTCTCCCCCCTTCTCTCTCTCTCACTCTCTCTTTCTCTCTTGTTCTCTCTTTCTCTCCCTTGCTCTCTCTTTTCTCTCCATCTTTTTCTCTCTCCTGCTTCCTCTTCTCTCCCCCCCCCCCCTTTTTTTTTGGTCTAAAATCTTCTACTCCCTCTATCAGACATCATCCCCTGTACCCTGTTTTCCTCTCCCCTCTTTCCAACATAATAATATGACTTACGAGTGAAATTAAATTGAACTAAACTTGCTTACTCGTACATTAAAATGTAAGGAATATTGGCAAATATGTCTTACAATAACAGAAGAAGAAGAACAAGTGTCAAATACTTGAAGCATGTCACAAAATATGACACAGAGGACATCAATATCCCAGCAGTTCAACAAGATATACACACATCAAGACTGTGAAATTATTCAGTTTGTCAACGGTATCAAAGCATATTGCTTCAAGCAACTACGACAAAAACAATGGTATTCGCTCTAGAGTTCCGTCATAAAATTTATATCGCATTCCTTTTTTGTGAGTGTGCACTCAAAACATGCAAATGTGCATCGTCGCAGTGTTTGTATAAGAAGCAGCAAGATGAAAAAAAAGCCTTTTTTTTTTTTTACTATGTGAACATTCAACCTTTCCCTGTGTCCGTTAAAAGTATTAGGGGTACCTCATAGTGATAACACTGATAAAGGCTAGCCATCTCTGGCCCAGCTAGGATGGAGGAAGAAACACATTGCCATCAGCAAAATTTCATCATCTTCAAGCTTTTTTTTGTATTAGCCATCCACATGGTAAACAACGCAAAGACAGAAAGAAACAAAGGTCATTTTGTGAGCATCATTGCTCATTCTGTCACACACACACACACAACAAATTCAACAAAAAAAAACCCTAGCCTAGAACTCTCTGTCAAAATGCAAGAGCTGTTCATTTCAACCGTTTCACTAAACACCAGGCTTGCTTTGTAACCCTACCAAATAGGTCGACAGTTTCAGGTCTGGTGTGAAAGATTTAAGAATGAAACTTGAAGTTTATGCGAGTGTTGTGATAGGCTCTGGCCTAAACCACATTCTTAAAAAATGGTAGCAGCGAGAAATGAACAGTGTGAATATCAGCTTCTATTCATATATACTCATCTGCCATTGACAAATGTGAGGGGTGCTGGCAAAATGAGTTACTTCTCGCGATCCAAGAATGGAGGTATCGGCCGAAAATCAACACTGGGGTCAGACTTATAGATTTTCAGCTGATACCATTTTGTTCAAGTCTACCGTGTCTTTTATTATTCCACACTTACAAATTGTACAAACACCACCTATAAAGTTGATGTATCAATTTCCATTCGGCTAAAATCCTAAAGAAGTAACTCCTTTTGTCAGCACACTTCACCAATGAGTCTACATCAGTAGCTGCAAAACTAAATAAGAGTAGCGAAGGGTAATTTATAGTAGCAACAAAAGTAGAATGAAGTAGAATTGCTAGCCAAACTGATCAGAGGGCTACTTATTGTTATTATGAATAAAAGCTGCAAAAGAAGGCAAATAAGACATAATAACGCCAACATAGTCTTAAACATATGAACATAAAGATATATATATATATATATAGATAGATATATATATATATCTACAACATGCACGGTTATATTGTTGATGTTGCTCTTCCATGATGTAAACAATAAATAAACTTGATGTAAATAAAGAGGATGGGGATTATTGCAAATAAAGCAACAAACAAAGCTAAAAGACGGCATTAATTAAAATTTGTCTGTAGGCATCACCTATATAAAGACATATAGATCTTGTAAAGATACAGACACATACACATTAACTCACCCAGCCCTAATGCTGATCATATCGGTATGCGCAACCCTAACACCGACAGTATCGGTCAGGAAAATTTCGCTCTCGAGATCGAAAAGACTACTTTTGTGTGAGGCAGACTATAGCTTAACCCTTTCAGCCCCAGCCATTTTTGTGCACTCCCCAACCCCAGTCCCAGCCAATACAGCAGTATTTCAGAAAAAGAGGCATTGTTTCTAAAAAGTGATGTAGTATCTTTGTAATGTAGCTTTGATAATAACATATACCAATTTTTAAAGATAAATGAACAAGTAATAAGAAAATTAAAGTTTAATCAAGTTCGTTAATTTAAAAAAATGCGCGAATTCGGTACCCCCCCCCAAAACTGAGAATATACGCTCTTGGGACGGAGGGAGTACAAGCACTGCTGAAAATATACGTGCTTGGGGCTGGAAGGGTTCATTGGAAGAGTAACCATTTTTCGTTTGAAACAGACGACGACATTGACCAGAAGTGCAAGCTCAAATTTAGAACCAAGACAGCTATATTCGAGAACTATGTGAGGGGGAGGAGGGGGGGGGGATATTTCAATGCATAAAAGATGCAAAAACAAAACAGGGGATAACTACTATAGACAGAAGTAACCGTGTAATTTCCATTCAAGGAACTCAAATGTTTAACAGATTCATAATTATTTGGAGTATCACCATGATGTTTTTTTCTCCACAGTACATGCGTGCTTTGTTCGTGTACGGATTCCTCACTTTAAATACAAACGAATTAAATGAAGGAACAAACAAAGCTAAAAGATCAGATGGCAGTAATTTCTTTGTTGGCTTTACCTATATAAAGACTGTTGGACAGAGCATGCGTGTACGGATTCCTCACTTTAAATACAAACAAATTACAACGCAGCCTCTCTATAACGGCCTTCGACATAATAACATCCCCTGTACAGCACCCAGGTGCCTAGGTCCCGATTTTTTCTTAAAATATTGTAAGTAATTTTTGGTTGCCTCTCTATAACGACAACTTTATATAACGACAACTTTATATAACGACATTTATTTCTAGTCCCGACGATGTCATCATTACAGAGAAGCTGCACTGTAAATAAAAAGAGGATGTAAGCAATTATGTTAAGTACATCTAAAGCTTCTATTGACGGACGCAGCATTTAAAGGGATCATCAAGCGAGCGCACTTGAAGCGGTCGGTCGGTTCTCGTACCTGCTATGATGATGTGTGCCTGCTGCTGACGTTGTTTCAGCCTCTGGTACTGCAGCTTGAGGCTGTGGATGTCCGTGTTCATTCGCTCCAGCTGAGGGCTGGCTTTGCTGGAGGCTTCTTCACCGCCCGGCCCGTACACCCCGGGGCCCAGCACTGAGATATCGGACGCTGAATTGGACATCTCTCCTGTGATTGGGGATGAAGGTGGAATAGGTTTGGGGTTTGTTTTTTTCTTTTCAGGGGGTGGGGGAGGGTGTTAGGGGCAGGAGTGAGTGTCTCACACACAGATACTCACGTATACACATACACACACATATACTCTCTCTCCTCACACACATACACGCACACACACAAACACACATTCTCCCTCTCACAATCACATGCAAACACTCTCTCCCACTCTTTTTTTCACAGACATATACACACACACATTCTCTCTCTCTATCTCAGGGGGCTCTCGAAGCCTAGAGGTTAAGGTGTTGGCCTCTCATTCAAAGGTCCCGGGCTCGAATCCGGGTAGCGACCGAAAAATTTTCTTCTCTAAAATTGTCTCCTTTCACCTCCTTTCCTGCTCTCTAGCAATATTCTGTTGTCTGCTTTCATT